TGACAACTTGGGGTCCTCCCCCACCTTCCACCGCCTCCCTCCACGTACCCGTTGCTCACCCACCGCCCCACCGATAGCGTCTTGCCGTCCACGGCGTCCGTCGCCTCCGCCACGATCCTTCCAGAGGAGGAGGAGGAGGAGGGAGGAAGGTTCTTGTCCCGGATGAGAGTGACCTCGGCGTTGGAGAAGAAGGCGTGAACGAATCTCGGCACCTTGGCTGACTTGTAGTCAAACCTGTACCGCAGCTCCTGCCCCTCGAACACGATCTCGATCGACTCCTTGTGACCCTGGAGGCTCCTGGACGCGTACAGGACCCTCTCCTGACCGTTAATGTTCAGCTTGTACTCGTCGGTCTCGTCAGGCGTGTCAAATTTCTCAACAGGAAAGATCTCGTCCGCGTCAGCTCGGCCCTTGCTGGGCACGAAAAATCCGAACCTGGCGATCCACCGACCGTCGACGGGGAGCTCCATCACCTGCGGTATGTGAGGTAGGAAGGGGGAGGGAGGGAGAAGACGAGGAAGAGCAGGAGGAGCAGGACGAGGGCGGGAACGGAAACGAAGGAGGAGGAAGTAGAGGATACGAGGAAGAGCAACACGACCAGAGGAGGAATCAGAAGAACAAGAGATAGAGTGGAGACTAGGACCAGGGAGGGAGAGGAGGAGGAGGAGGAGAAGAAGAAGGAGGAGAAGGAGGAGCAGGAGAAGGAGGAGAAGGAGGAGGAGGAGGCGGCGGCTGGTTTCGTACCCCTTCAATGAAGCCATTCGTGGTGTCATCCAATCTAGCGATGGACTGGAAGACTGGGTCCGGCTTCACCCCCTGCGTCCTCTTCCTGTTCGCCCACCAGCTGCACATCATGGGAGGAGGCGTCTCTGCTAGCTGGACGACTGGTGGAGGCTTCGGGCACAGGACTTTTCCAGCAGTTCCTCCTGCGGCTCGATGATGAGAGGGGAGATGGAAGAGGAGGAAGCGAAGGAGGGAAAGGGGATAGAGGAGGAGGAGGAGGAGGAGGAGGAGGAGGAGGAGATGTACTTACCAGCACAGCAGAATGCTCCAAGCTGGGGATCAACTGGACATTCGGTCTGTCGGATATTCAGCACAAGTCCGAGGATGTGAGAGACTGAGCATCAGGGCAGCAGAGGAGAAGAAGAGGATGAGGAAAGGAGGAGCAGAAGAGAAAGAGAAGAGAAAGAGAGGAGGAGGAGAGGAGGGGGGAAGCAGCAGGAAGATAGAGGGTAAGGGACGAAGAGGAGCAGTCGAGGGTGTCGCACCCCGTCCGGAGAGGGCGATCCCTCCGCACAGTAACGGCCAGCAGGAACAGCTGTGCATGGCTGCTTGTCGTTCGCTCCGCCTATCAGTTGTCAGGTCGAGAACGGTTGTCAGGTCGAGAATAAGAGAGGGGGGAGAAGGGGAGAGCAGGGAGGGGGGGGGGGAGGGAGGGAGGGAAGGGGGGGGGAGGGACAGATGGCAAGAGGGGGCGGAGGAGGAAGGGGAGGAGAGGAGGGAAAGAAAGTAGCAAGGAGGAGGAAGGGAGGCAAAGGGCATACCGAGGCAGAAGAATCCTTCGGGGCAGGGCTTCGAGTCAGCCTGGGTCGGAGTTCCCAGCGGGCAATATTGACCTGAGAGGCTGATGAGACCAGCTCCACCCCAGCTGCAGCCTCCTCACCCGGCGCCACATCGCAGGGGACGGGGACGGCCTGGCCCCCAGCACACCAGTGACCTGCTGGGCACTGATCGCCAGCCGTAGAGGCGCTGCCAGCCTTGCAGTAGGACCCGGGGTGGACGAAGAAGATGTCGCAAGGCACCTGCGAGTCAGATCAGCCCAGCTCGATCCCAGCTGACTCCGAGCTGCGGTCAACCTTATTCTCGTGTCCTCCTGGGCAATGGAAGCCAGCTGGACATTCTACCCCTGCGCCGTTGGTGCTGCCTTCAGGGCAGAAGTTTCCTGCAAAGAACGTGAGGATGGGGAGGGAAGGAGCGACGGGAGAGGAAGAGAGGAAAGAAGGCAAGCAGAGAGACGAGAACGGGAGGTGCGTTGGGGAAGGGGGTAACGAGAGCATCGGGGGAGGAGAGGGAGGGATAGAGGGAGAAAGGAGGTCACGTCAACCTGGTTGAGCTGTGCAGGCTTTGGGAAGACTCTGTCCTCCCTCGCAGTAGTAGCCAACGGGGCATCGCTTGCCCGCCTCGTCAGTGCTTCCTTCAGGGCAGAACTTTCCAGTAGGAGCGTTGCATGGCTGTTTGTCACGCGACCCCCCGAGGCAGTAAAACCCTGAAGCCGAGGTCAGCATGCCATGAAACATGTCATGATCGCCAAACCAGCCGGGCAAGGTTGACCAGCCTCCTCGAAGGACTTGGGAGGACAGTATCTTCCGCTTTCTGTAAAAGCTGTAGTCAAGCAGTTGTGTAGCTATCATCATCACCATCATCATCATCGTCATCATCATAAGCAGCAGCAGCAGCAGCAGCAGCAGCAGCAGCAGCAGCAGAAGCAGAAGCAGAAGCAGAAGCAGAAGCAGAAGCATATTACCAGCAGTGCAAGCGACGGCCAAGCGATCGTTGCCATGACAGTAATGTCCTACAGATTTGTCAATTCCTCTCGAGCTTCCAGCCAGGAGGGACAAGGAAAGAAGCCCAACAGACCTGCTGGGCACTCGGAGCCGTCGGAGCTGGACGAGCCCTTCTTGCAGTAGAACCCGGGCTCTGCTGACCGTCAGCTGGTCAACTTAGAGGGTAACTGGTCACACCAGCTCGGCATGGCTGAGGAGGAGTTGCGCCTCCCATGCAGTAGTAGCCCTGCCGTCCACGATCAGCCTACCAAGCTCAGCCCGAGCGGATCGCTACTCACGCCATCGCATGCGACACCATCGCCAGAAGAAGTGCCTGAGGAGAGTCAGGGGCCCAGCACAAGGCTGACCATTCTGACCTTCAGGGCAGTAGAACCCTGGAGCCGCTTGACAAGGCTGCTTCCCAGCTGCTCCTCCTTGACACCAGGAGCCAGCTGGGCATTTGACACCCGAAGGAGCTCCTGCAGTCGCTCTCAGCAACGCCCTTGAGCATGAGAGAACTTTACCTGTTCCCACCGGACAGTACATGCCGGGACTAGCCTGTACCTCGCCGTCAGCGACTGCGTTCCTTCCCCCCAGCAAGAATGGAGGAGGTAGGAGGGAGGAGGGAGGAGGGAGGAGGGAGGAGTCGCCTCCACCTGACACGGAGACGGCAAGGACGATCCTCCATCGCAGAAGTTGCCTGCACGTCAATCATCAGCGAACGACAGTCGCAACGGCTCTGGTCATGTACCCGCTGGACAAGGATCCACCGTCGTGTGTCCCTTGAGTGCGAGAGTTCAGCTCAGGCCCAGCACGAGGGTCAAACGCAGAGCTCACCTCAGGGCAGTAGCTACCCACAGGCGCCTGGCAGTTGGTCATCCCAGCAGAGCCTGAGCAGAGCTGAGAAGCGGATGAGGAGGCAGAAACTGAGGTTAACCTCCCGGACAAACATGTCCAGCTGGGCAGGTGATGCCGAGGGGGGAGGAGGAGCCAGCGTCACAGAAGTGGCCAGGGGCACAAGTGCACGGCTGCTTGTCTGTTCGAAATCTCAGTCAGTTGTTTCCTCCTCTTCCTCCTCCACCATCACGACCTGCGTTGCCTCCTGTACAGAAGAAGCCCACAGGGCACTGGATGCCTTGTGCAGAGGGGCTGCCAGCTGGACAGTACTTCCCAGCTGGGGCCTGCAGGGGAATTTGTTAGAGCAACGAAACGGAGGGGTAGGAGCTGAGAACAGACCTGGCAGGCTTGTTTGTCTTGACTACCACCAGGGCTGCCGCGAGATCAGCTGGACTATCTAAGGGAGTTCGATAGGAAATCACCAGAAGAACCCAGCTGGGCAGGATGAGCCTGCCGGGTCTGTGCTGCCCTCGGGGCAGTACGAGCCGACTTCGGCGGAACAAGGCTTGGCGTTCGCCATGCCGCCGGCACACCTAGAGGAGGAGGTCAGGGCTCCGTCCTGCCGCGGCAGCAGCAATGTCACCAAGAGCCGACCGGGCAGACGGCTCCTGCTGGGTCTGTCGACCCCTCTGCGATGGATGCAGTCAGCGCAGAGGCATGTGGAGTGCAACGAGGGACTACCAGGGCAGAACCTGCCGCGTTCAGCAGTGCAAGGGACTTTGTCGGAGCTTCCTCCTGCCACGACGGCTGAGAAGCCGCCAACAAGTTTCGAGACCTCGCACCTGGGCAGTAGTAGCCGATCTTACATTTGAACCCTTCTGTTGTTGGGGAGCCAGGACCGCAATAGAAGCTGCTCAAGCATCGTCAGACTCCTTCGCTCTCCCTCCCTCCCTCCGCATCACCCTGCTGCTGCGCTGCAGGCTACTGCCCCGGCTGAACCTCCAGCACAGAAGCTGCCGACTGGACACTTGACTCCGTTGGTGCTTGTGGAGCCCCTGGAGTGAGACGAGCACGACAAGGCAGGCAGGGAGGCAGAGGACGGTGGTGGGCAGCAAGGAGGGCAGAGGAGAGAAGGAGAGGAGAGAAAAGGAAGAGAGGAGAAGTGGAGGGGAGAGTCAGCTAGTTATAACATGACAGCACTGCTTCGCTCACTTGGGGCAGTAGAACCCTGGCTCGCAAGTGCACGCAACCTTGTCCGGCATCTGATCCAGCGAGTAGAAGCCCAGGGGAACCTCGTGCCCAACCGCATCCGACGAGCCGTCGGGGCAGTAGTACCCAGCCGGGGAGTTGGAGCACTTCTGCTTATCGGCCTGTCCCCCAGCACTGCAGCCGTGCAGTCGTAAGAAGGCGCAAACTTCCAACAGCTCACGAAGCCCACCAGAAGAAGCCCTCAGGGCAAGGGACGCCGTTGGCTCCAGCAGCGCTGCCAGCTGGGCAGTAGGACCCTGCCGGGGCTGTGCATGCAGTCGGGCTGGCCGAGGCGCCAGGGCACCTGAGGGTAGAGGGTGAGTGACGAGGCAGGAAGTTCAGCGGAGTCACCAGGAGCCCACTGAGCAGCTCTGCCCGTTGGCACTGGACGAGCCAGCTGGGAAGGGGTCAGAAGAGGAGTCTTGATGACTCGAGAGCTCGTACTTGCACAGAAAGTTCCTGCTGGGCCCGTGCAGGGCATCTTGTCTGCCGTGCCACCAGTACAGAAGTATCCAGCCGGGCCTGCCGCTCAACTCAGCAAAGCGAGTCGGAGGCTGCGAGCTTTCAGGTACATGTGGTCCCGTGCTCCTGCGAGCTCCCTGGCGGACAGAATGATCCAGCTGCAGCCTTGCAGTCGGCCTTGTCGGCGTCGCCCCCTTTAGACGTGTCAGGGAGCAGGAGGAGGAGGAAGGGGAGGGGGGGGAGGAGAAAGGAGGTGGTAACTAAAGCTGGTGATGGAGGACGACAAAAGAATAAAGTGCATGACACAAAGTCAAGGAAGAAGGGAACAAGACCATGAAGAGGAGGGGATGGGGGCGGAGGGGACGAGCAAGAGGAGGGGAGAACAACGGTGAGGTACCTGCACACCATTGTCCTACAGGACAGATAATCCCTGACTCCTGCACGCCAGCAACGTGAGAAGAGCGAGTGGCAAAGAGGAGAAAGTGGATACCGAAGAAGATCCCTCTTCGCAGTAGTATCCAGGTCGAGCCGAGCAGGACTGGGGAACGAACTGGAAGCCCAGGCCTGCCAGCCCGTCACCTCCACCTCCTTCCTTGACTTCGCGCAGACGTACAGTAGTGTCCAGGAGGGCATGGCGAGGTTGCGTCCGGCGCCGCTGCTCCCTGCGGGCAGAACATTCCTGCTCGTCCCCGTCAGCCCTGCACCGTCGGCCTCCCCCACCAGCTCACCCGCAGCTGCTTCGCAGTCCTCCTTGTTTGCGGCTTTCACAGCAGCTCTCAGTCGTCAATCACAGCACCGACACCTCAAGCTCACATCCTCCGGCGCAGTAGCTCCCAGCTGGGCAGAGGATCCCGTCTGGGCTGCTGCTCCCCTGCTCGAGCACGGTCACAGGCGGGAGTGGCAAGGGAAGGGCTCCTTGCCTCTGAGCAGTACTTCCCAGGTGCCGCCGTGCATTCCTTCTTATCTCCTCCCTGACCAACGGAACTTCAACTTCGCGCCTTCCTCGCTGCCGTCAGGTTCCCATCACCTGACAGTAGAACCCTGCTGGGCAGGTCCTTCCCAACGGTCGGTAGGCTCCAGTTGGGCAGTACCTGAGGAAAAAGCTGAGAACTCGAGCTGGCGGCCAACTGCAAGCCGCAAACCTCCCAGGCTCCGAGTTGCATTCCTGCGGCAGCGTCGAGCCACCAGTGCAGTAGAAGCGCTCAGGGCACTTGGTCCCGTTCATGTTGTCCGAACCCTCCGGGCAGTAGAGTCCGGGGGGAGACATGCAGGGAAGCTTGTCCTGCAGTGCTGCCGTTAGTGCTGCCGGCCCCTCACCTCCTCCTCCTCCCCCCCCTTCCCCCCTGCAAAGTTACAGCACCTCCGAGTCTCCAAGGCACCTGCAAGAAACAAGCTCAGATGAGGAGGATGCACGAACTTCGAAATTCACCAGAAGCCGGGTGGGCACTTTCTGCCTGTAGCAACCTCGGAGCCCTCTGAGAGAACTTGGGTATAAGAAGGGAAGGAGAAAAGTGTGGAAGAGCGAGAGAAGCCACAAATAGAAATGCACGAAAACCAGAAAGGCAGGGAGAGGGTGAGAAGGAGGGGAGGAGGAAGGGAGGAGGGAGAGGGAGGAGGAAGGAGGTGGGGAGGAGAGGGCGGCCGGAGAGAGCTGGAGAGGAAAGGAGGAAGGAGAGGAAGGAGAGGAAGAGAAACAGGGACACGGTACATCCTTCCAATAAGAGGAGCGTTGCAATAAAACTAACCAGGGCAGTAAAACCCGGGTTGGCACGAGCACAACTCTTTGTCTGCGTTCCCTCCTGCAGCAACAGAACTCAGACTGAAGGAGCAGAGCGCGAGGTTCGAACCGCTGCAGAAGTATCCCTTGGGACACTTTGTGCCCTTGCTGTCCGAGCTCCCTTCCGCACAAAAGAACCCTAGCACGAGGTCAACCGAGGTGCTGGCAGCGCATGGTCCTCCTACCTGCGTCGGCTGCACAATCCTTCTTGTCTTCCGTTCCGCCAGGGCAGTAGAACGTCGCAGGGCAGGAGACACCAAAGGCGTCCCCAGTGCCTGGCGAGAGCAGATGAGTAAGGAAAGTGAGGACGGGGAGGAGGACGAGGACGAGGACGAGGACGAGGACGAGGACGAGGACGAGGAAGGGGAGGAAGGACAAGGACGAGGACGAGGAGCATGGAGAGGGACAAGTAGGACGCGGAGGACGAGGAGGACGAGGGGGGCCGACCAACCTTCAGGGCAGTATGACCCAGGAAGCGCCTTGCAATCAGCAGCCTGTAGAGATCCAAGTAAATTCACAACCTCTCGCCCAGCTGCGTGACCTCTGCTGCTCCACCAGAGCAGTACTTGCCCACAGGGCAAGCATGCGTCTCGGCGCTTCCTTCAGGGCAGAACTCTCCAGGAGGAGCGTCTGCGATAGACTTCAGCGCGAGCATGACCGAAGTTCGAGCGCTCACCGCATGCCGTCAGGCCGTGCGAACCTCCCAAGCAAGTGGAGCCCTGGGCGTGCAAGTCACATCGAGTCTCTCGGTCCCTTTCCTTCCTCCCCTCACCGACGGGCAGGGAACTCCCTTGATGCTGCTCGAGCCCGGGGGGCACCAGTGCCCCGGGTCTGCTTGACAAGGCTTGGCTTCCTCCTTCTGCTCGCTCGGTCGTCACAAGAAGTCCAAGACATGCTCATCCTCTCTCACCCCGCCAACGCAGTAGTAGCCCACGATGCACTCTACCCCGTTCGCGTCGCTGCTCCCGCTCGGACAGTACCGCCCAGCCGGGGCCGTGCAGACCTTGGCGTTCTCGGAGCCTCCCGAGCAGTAGAAACCAGCTTCACATTTCTTGCCCGCCAGAGGTTCTGCTCCGGTTGACGCGTTCCATCCTGCGGGGCAGTAGAACCCTGGGGAATCCCCTTCAGGACAGCGACAACAAAAGAAGGGAAGTGGAGCAGGTAAGAGAGATGAAAGAGGAGAGTGTTGGAAGGAGCAGGAGAGAGCAGGAGAGGAAGAGAGAGGAGAGGAAAGATAGGAGAGGAGAGCAATAGCTGACTCCCATGACCCTCACCAGGAGATGAAGTGCAAGGCTTCATGTTGGCATCAAGACCTTCACAGAAATGTCTACGTCGACCAGTCAGAGCAGGAACGATGCCGTCGTCACATCCTCACCCGACAGGACACTTCACACCCTCGGGCAGCGAGCTGCCGATAGGGCAGTAGTATCCTTCCTCGCAGACACAGGGAGTCTTGTCGCTGCTTCCTCCTTCGCACCAGAAGCCCACGGGACATTTCACACCTGAAGAGGAGGAAGATCCTGGCGGGCAGTACGACCCAGGCTCTGTTCCGCAGATCATGGGCACTGCTGTTGCTCCTGCACAGTAAGATCCTGGGAACAAGAGTGAGCAGCTACTGGGAGGCACAGGACAGGGCACATACCAACGGGGCAGAGGGTCCCTTGACCAGAGGCTGTCCCTCTGGCACAGAAGTATCCTGTAGATGTTCTCAGCGGGTTAAGTGCAAGTCATCATGATACACTGACCAGGACTGACTGTGCAAGGCGCCTTGTCTGCTGTGCCTCCTGGACAAGTGAAGCCAGGAGGACACTGGGCGCCATTGGGCGAAACCGAGCCCTCAGGGCAGTAGTACCCAGGAGCCGCTGCCAACGAAGAAGTCAAACGAAGAAAGCAGAAGGAGGGGCACAATCGACTAGATAGACCATCAGAGGAAAGAGGAGGAAACAGATCAAATGATGAAGACATTAGCTTGCAGATGACATGAGTTTGTTTAGAACATGAACGACGAGAGGAGGAGACAAATAAAGAACAGAAGCAGAGCAGGAGGCTGTCAGATACCAGCGCAAGAATCGGGCAATGCTGTGCCTCCAATGCAGAATTTGCCTGGAAACAGGTTCAGGTACACTAGACTCGGAGGAGTGCTGGAAAACCTTGGGGGCAATGCACACCCAGTGAGGACTGAGAGCCTTCGGGGCAGTAGCTCCCTGGACCAGCGACGCAGGGGAGCTTGTCACTCGATCCTCCCTTGCAAGCAGAGCCCGCCGGGCAAACTTCGCCCGCTGCCGCCTTGGACTTGGGAGGACACCATGAGCCAGGAGCTGCGGTGCACTCTTGCGCCAAACTCGTCTGCAACAATAGAATCAACCCGGACCAGTTTGACTTGCTCAAAGCTCACCCCGCCGATGCAGAAATGTCCAACAGGGCATTCTCGGCCCGCAGCCGTTGAGCTTCCTGATGAGCAGAAGAAACCTGGCTCCGCTTGGCATGGCTGAGGCCCTGTGGTACCTCCGGTGCAGAAGTTTCCGCCATCACAAATCTTCCCAGCAAGAGGGTCAGAGTTGCGTTCCGGAGCCCATCCTTCCGGACAGAAGAAGCCTGATACCTTGTCAGGCAACACGCTGGACAAGCCAAGACATCATCACCTGGCAATGCCGTACAGTCTACCTTGATGGCACTCCCACCAGCACAGAAATGCCTGCAAATGCCATTCAGTTCATGACAACATTCGCATCGAAGGCTGGGAGCGCACCCGATTGGACAGATTTCGCCAGAAGGCTCAAAGCTTTTCTTCGGGCAAAAGTATCCAGGAGAAGCTGTGCATGGCTGCTTAGCTTTCGAGCCCCCCAAACAGTAGAATCCTTCGGGACATTCCACCCCCTGGGTAGGGGAGGAAACTTGACCCGGCGGACAGGAGTAGCCCTTCTCCACAGCGCATTCCACCTTGTCGCTTTGCAGACCAGCACAAGCGTGGCCAACGGGGCAAGAGACACCAGTGGCAGTCGAGGTTCCCTGGGGACAGTACGAACCTGGTGAAGCTTGGCATGGGGCCTTAGTTCCGCCTCGACCGCCAACACAGTAGTATCCTTGAGGACACGGAAGAAGGTTATAGAGGGGGTTTTCTGGATCGGATCCTGCTATCTTCTCACAGTACTCTCCTGGTTTTGCCTTGCAGACCGTCTTGCATTCACCGCCTTCTTTCACGTATCCAGTCACACACAAGCACTGTGCCCTGGTAGCGCTTCCTTTCACACTCATCTCATGGGCCCCGCATTTCTGAGGGGTGGACTTGGCAGGGCAATAGTAGCCTGCCTCACATTCTATACAATCCAAATCTTTCATGTGGGGATTCTGATAATAGCCAGGTTGGCACATACAAGTTCCTTGCCCTTCAAGACCACCTGTGTCTGAGCCAGGTGGACATTCATGCTTCATCGCAGGCCACTTGTCATTATTGTAAGGGTAATGCAAGCACTTGACAACATCGTCCGACTTGCAACGAATCGGGTCGAATTGCCCGGGGCAGAAGTTGTTCACAGGACAGGAGTGGCAATTCCCATTGTTCTCATGCGTTGCATCCACCCCGTACATTCCTTCCGGACACCAGCAATCTTCGATGCTTCTGCTGGCTCGGCGACTTGTAAGTGGAGCTGGACAAGTGAGGACCAAGTCTTTCTTCTCGGGACAGTACTTTCCCTCCTCACATGCTGTGCAAGTTGGGCCGGCCTGAGTTTCTATCAAGACGAACCCGGGAATGCAAACCGGCACGGAGGGCCAATCATTGAAGTAGCCAGGATAAACAGGTTTAGGGATGTCTGATCCGTTTCTCCTGCAACACATCATCCAGCCTGCCTTGATCTTCGTCTGGTCATCTAAAGGCGCTGCGCTAATGTTGAAAACCCAGTTATCAGGTGAGGATGTGCTTGCTTCGATCAGATCCTCCACCCGGTTTTTCCTCTCGCCCTTCATCAGCACAACAACTGCCATGACTGCAAGCAGGAGCATGGCAACGGAGCTTGCATACGAGACGATGGCCGGACGGCGCGACCTCCTGACAACAGGGGAAGCGGAGTCTAGTGGAATGTATTCCATCTTGAAGGTGGCTGGCGTGACCGAGGAAGGAACAAGAGCACAAGGGAGATCAGAGCAAGAAGAAGAGTTTGATCGCTTCTCTCGCGGAACTAATCAGATCAAAGTCGTCGCCTCCCCGCTGTTGTCATATCGTTCATCTCGCCATCTCGCCCGAAATAGCCATCAAACACATTACCACCCCCACATTCCCCAATGCAACCACCCCTACCCCCTACGGAATTTTCACTTTACACTTCACAGTTTCAGTACCTTGCCGGATTCGCAATGGGCTGCTCAACGACTCTCACATGATGTCAGTGAGTTGGAGATCAAACAGCTTCCCTCATGCAAGGATGCGGCGCATGCAGGGCTACGAAGCCCTCACGACCTCTTGACCCGCTGCCGCTGCGGTGGAGCCGTATGCTCGAGGCCGAAGGCAGCAGACAGGCTGACTTGAATGAGAATCTCCGACTCGGGATCGTCTCTAGGCTTATGGAAGGCAATCAGCAGCAGCTAATCTGAGATGGAGGACTCGAAAGAAGGTGTTGAAGAGGAGGAGGAGGAGGAGGAGGAGGAGGAGGAGGAGGAGGAGGAAGAAGAAGTTGCCATGCTGGACTCCGTCATGGGTACCGTACGAGTCACAGGCGGCTTCCTCATACAACTTTTACTCAAAGTTAAGTTAAAAATAATTACGAGGACAATCAGGCCCCCGAGAGTGGCACCTGAGAGCCGATGACTGCCATACCTGTCACCACCGCAACGACTCAACCGAAGGTCTTGTAGTGGTTTCCGCTGTTTCTCCAAAGCCGGAACAGTATCGTTGCAGGCCTATCTTAGGCCGGTGTAAGTATAGCGACAACTGCGGGGCTGCTCTCAGTCTCCCGGGTAGCCCTGGAGGCTGAAACTTGTCTTGTATGACGGCATTGAACTCAAGTTTCGTACACGGAGCCCGAGCCCGCGGTACCCGGCTGTGGCCACGGGATGGGAGATGGGAGAGAGAATGAGAGATTAATCATTGATCACATATTTACATATGAATTCCCCTCTTGTCAAAGTGAGGCAAGGCTTGACGAAGCTTGTCTGCGCAGGTGTCTTGACACTGCAGGGAGGTGAGGAGAGGAGGAGAATAGTGACGATGATATCACCTTGACATACGATCCGATCTCGTCTGAGCCATCGCAACCTAGAACAAGTAAGACATTGAGCAAAGCCGCCACTCCCTCCCCTGCTCACAATCGCAAACTCCGTCCTTCACCCGGCTAGAGAAGATGTACATGTCCTCCTGCATCCCATGATACCTCCTCTTGCACTTGAACCTGCACAACCAGACCTCCGGGTCAGTCCAGCACTGTCGGAACTCCAAAGATCCACATGGCAACCTGCCATTGACGCAGGCTGAGGTCTCTGAAAGGAGCGATCAAACGTCAGGTCAGAAGGCGCAGAAACAGCACTCATTGCCTGGCTCGTCGGTCCCGTCCACACAGTCACAGTAGTCGTCATTCACCTGCTCCAGGGTCAGGCAGGGGACATGTAGGCAGTCAGCCGGTTCTGTCTCGCACTTTGGACATGTTCAGCTTCTGGTCTCCATCGCAAACAAAGACAGCAGTGTTGTCAATGATGCTTATAGGCTTGTGCTGCAAGTGACTCAGCGTCAGAACAGAGCTTCTAATGTTTCAAATGAACCTGAGCGAGGACAGCAGACGGAGGTGAAAGTTTTTGTTTGTGTGCCGCCTCAGGAGCTTCATCCCCTCCATGCTCACCTTCCATGAGTTCATGCTGCAGTCAACACAGTTACAAAGAGTACCTGCTCTATCCTTCTGCTCTGACACGCCGGAGGGACGGGAGTCAGAGGGAGGAGGAGTTCTGTGAAGGGACTGTGCAGGCGACATGTCAGAACCAACCAATTCAGCTCTCATCTCTATCAGCACCGGCCAAATCTTCTTCGAAAACTTGAGCGCCTTGTTCATCCCTTGACTGCAAACATTCGCACTCTTGTTTCATGCGCAAGCAACAAATTTACTCCATCGTTTCGTAGGGCTGCCGCTCGTTCCCCCCATGCTTATCTCCTGCCATTCCACAATCACGGGACCCGCTAAGATCTCGGAGGTCGACAGACCTGCATTGTTCCTCTTCAGATCTTGATGGCTCCCTCGCACAAATGTGCTCTTGTTCCTGCTCACGTATGCGCACGTCAGCACGAGGCGGATGACAACATCATTCGTCACACCCCCAGAATCCGAAGCCTTTCCTGTGCTCCACGTCGCTAAAGTCGAGGATGTTGAGGAAGTGCCCATAGAAAGTGCCCAACAAGACTGCAGTTCGCTCCTGAGTTCTCAGAAGTCCGGGCAGCAGACGACTTTCTCACCGAAGAACAGAACGATGCAGAGGATTGAGGAGAGATACAAGGGAGTGAGCAACCCCAGAACGACCTTCTTCCACCGCACCCTCCACTTCTTCCGCACTTGACTCGCCTACAAGTCCCGTCATGCACGGAGGCAACACAGTGGACGCTGCAAGGGTTTTTCCTGGTACAAGAAAGTATTCCTCGCGGGGGAGCGGATATGTGGCAAGATTGGTGCAACCATCGGAATCCTTTGCCTTGAGGTCAGTTGCTCTTCATTACAACACTAGTTCGAGTAACAAACAATGTCAGTAAAGAGGGATAGAGTGAACATGTAGGCAGCAGTATAACCCGTTGAATGTTCATCAGCCTTTGCCACCTGTATGGTTTGCTAGCAATCATCCTCTCACAACTTTTCTGCCTTCATTCTCATGCTTGCCCTCTGATTGTCTTTCTACTTGATGTCTCGTTATCCTGTTCCGTGGAGCCTCCGACCTCACCTTCTCTCTCCTTCCCTCCCTCCCTCCCTTCCCCCCTTGCCCTCCCCCCCTCACCCTCCCCCCTTCTCCCCCGCTCTCCCTCTCCCTCCCTCCCTCCCTCCCTCCCTCCCTCTCTCTCTCTCCATCTTCTCTACGCTCTCTATCACTCTTCATTTCATCTCACTTCTCCTCCCCTCCTCTCTCCGTCGTCTCTCCTCGCCATATCCCCGCGCTATTGCTCGTTCGGCCATCGTCACCTTGTTGAACCCCGACTTGCTAGGATGAACTAAAACTATTTATTATATTGTACCGTATGAAACTTAAAACATTTATTTTGAAGTATTCAGTAGTTGTTGGGTTCATTGGGTTACAAATTTTAGTACCAAATATGTAATATTCCGGATCTCTTGTACTGATAGGATCTAAATTTAACTATATTTAACAAAATTTATCATATGAGTAAAACAGTTGCAACCCCCATCCCAGTGAGTCGCTTCTCGCCAAATGCTGAGAGTTTCGGATTGCTCCTCCTCCTCCTCCTCCTCCTCCTCCTCCTCCTCCTCCTCCTCTCTCCCACTGAGCTCTTCCCGTACCAGCATCAGAATGTCCATTTTGCTCCTCCTCGGCTGCATCCTGTCCGCCATCTCGCCTACACTGGGCAATGATGTACACCCCCCACACTTCTCGGCTGTGCTCAGGAGCAGGAGTTTGGAGAACTTCGTTCCTTCAGAGCTTCGAGACAGCAATGGCGTTCCTCGTATATCGGATCTGCCTGCAGGAGGACTTGACTCCGTGCTCCGCCCTGCGGCCTTTCGGTTAGGGCTCAAGGAAGATTTCTGCGGACGATGTCTTACCCCCCAGCCAGGAGTTCCTAAGATCCTGCATGAAGCAAATTTGATCCGCTGGGTGCATCCCGACACGGATGTAGATGTGAGTCTCTGGTACACACCATTGTTCGACCAAGATGATACCAGCCAGCAAGCTGGGTTATCCATTGAAGGCGTCTATTCTCGAAGGAAGTACAACTTCGAGAAGCAGTATGAGAAGGCGGAGCATGAGAACCCATGGAACCCTGTCATTCCCCTTTCAACTGAGATGACTCCGGGACGTATCTCCACCTTCGGCTCCTGGAGAAAGTACGGCATGGACAAAGAGCACAACGCCGAAACAGATCACTCAAACGGCCATCTATTAGTATCTGACGTTGAGCGCGTGCTGATGGAGGCTATTGAAGGCAAGTAACAATCTTAAGTGGGATTCTAGTGGCCTTGTGGACGACAGATTGGTGTACAAGGTGACCTCACGGACACGAATCGAAAAAGTGGATCAGATCTCGTTGATTATCAAAATGCATTTCTATCTGCGCGTTGGAAACGTAGCGATTGCAAAAGGAAACATCCATCCGGAAGATTTGGTGGATGCGGAGTCAAGCAGCCCATCTTGGATTCCATTCACCACTGTTCATACGTTGAACGCGGTAAGATGAGAAATCTATTGTTGCCTTGGAGCCCTACCGAAATCGTGTGAATGATTCAACTGCAGCAATAGTTGCTCTACCTGATATCTTGTTAATCGAATCCTGGACTTGAACTTTTGTGTCACACTTCCTCTGTATCCTGCCTTGCTGATGAGGCTGGAGATGCATTCTTCTTGGGACCACCCTTCCATGGCACACCATCAAACCCAACGTACACCTCCTGAAGAACTTTGTAACCTTGCTCCGAGCACACGGAAGGGAGGTAGGTAGCAGAGTATCTCTCGCCGCGATCATCCTCGAATTCGATGATGATTCCATGCTTTCCAATCTGATGAGAGATCACTTTTCGCAACCATGAGATTGGACAAGGTAAACCTGCCAGTCCAGATAGTCGCGTCCGTCTTCGTAGTTGTGAAGTAGCGTGACACTGCACTCGAGCAGTCGAACCTGTCGCATTTCGCCGTCAGACACATCAGCTGTCTGAAGCCGTTGCAACAAAAGGGACCTCCTGTGCAGAGATTGGAGCAAACCTATCATGCATGATAAGATGCGCCATCGAAAGAAAACGAGGTACAAAAAAGTACCTACGATCGCTGAAAGCGCTCACAGACGCATACTTCCTCACACCTGAGAGACACTTGAGATGCTTGCAGAGAGCGATGGTTGTAATGCATATCGAGCAAAGAACTCACCCTCGTGCAGATCCATGGCCGAAAGATTCCCTATACATCCACGAAGCGAACTGCCGCTTCTAACAAGAGACATCATTGATTCCAAGTCCTTCACAACGGCGTTCGCACATACCCTCTTGAATCCGCTTTGTTCCATGTCACAAACAAGGGACTGGCGACAAGTCACGCCCTTCAATCACTCTCCTCATGACTCACTACGAGCCAGTCTTGAACTTCGGCGCAGGAACGGGGGTGCGGAATAACTCCGCCAAAATCACGTCAAAACAGAATCGGCATTGTTCCTCGAGCGAATCCTTTGCTGAGAGATCTATTAGTGCATCATATACCCGCAAGGCACGGACAACCGATTGGTTCCAACTGCTCTAGTGACATGGCCCGGGCTGAAAAATGTTTCCCTGAGAAAGTTGGTGATTAATGTTGTGTTCATGATAAGAGAAGTTGTACGCAATCGTGTGAAAGTGCCTGCTTTACAGATATACTAGCTCATACTTCCATCGGAGCATTCTAGTTCATGATTCCCCTGCATCTCGGCCCCACATGAATCAAACAGTCTCACCGGAAAACCACACGCACAAACAACAATTCTTCCTCGGGTGCAAGTGAGGAGTAATACTGGAATTCATCGGACGTAACAATGGTCTGCGATGAATTTCGTATCTTCTGCCTCCTTCCTCCTCCTCTCTCCTCCCCCTCCCCTCGGGTTTGTCTTGCAACTTGTCCCCGACATTGCAGGGGGCGCACAGGGTAAGGTCAGAGAGGGGATGAGGTGCAGATGAGGTGTGGATCGATGGGGGGTCAGAGAGGGGATGCGGTATGGGTCGATGGGGGGAGGTGGTCCCTCTCATTCCCACTTTGGCTCCAACGGCTGGAAGTCATATTATTGGGGGGTAGGGGTACTATTCATATTGCAGAGGGACGGGTGGGGTGTTACCCATGGGGGTGGTCGCATGCTTTTCCTCTCTATGATTCTCTTTTGATTATTCAGAATGATGGAATTTTTGGGGGGTAGGGGTACAGTGTGATTTTATGGTGGGTGGGGTACATGATACGAGGGGGTGGGTGCCTTTAGCTAATATGCTCCTCGTATGAACTGAAGTCGTAGTAGTCCATGCTGCTGCTGAGAGGAGTCAGAGAGCTGGCGAGCTCACGCTTGCTGACTCGCCTTCCGTTGGTCGTGCTCGTGCCTGCGAGCGATACGTCAGACCTGACGTCTGACGGCTGCTGCTCTGAATCCATGGGCTCCAGCTTCAAAACGCCCTTGCGAACGATGCGGAGCAGTTCCTCGGCCGATTCTTGCAAGCTCTTTCCACTGGAACAAGAGCAGATGGTCAGGTCAACACGGTGAGCAGAAGGAATGAAGAAGGAAGGAGAGGGTTAGGGAGGAAGAGGCAGAGGCAGAGGGAAAGAGGGGGGGAGTGGGAGAGGGAGAGGGAGAGGGTTGGGGAGGGGAGAGAGGGGGTAGGGAGAGAGGGAGGAGGGGGGAGGAGGGGAGGGAGGGGGGGGAGAGGGAGAGAGGGAGGGAGGTGAGGTGAGGAGGGAGGTGAGGTGAGGTGAGGTGAGGAGGGAGGTGGAGGGGAGAGTCGGGCACCAAGGAACAGATGAGCGTGGAGCGATGGGTAGGGGAGAGCAAGGGAAGAAAAGAGCAGGGCTGAAGTTGGGAGAAGAGAGCTTTAAGTTGAGATGAGTGAACGAGATCGGAGGAAGCGATGGGAGAGGAGTTTGCAGAGAGGAGGCAAGAAGAAAGGAGGCTACGGAGGGTGCAAGGAACAAATAGATGAAGGAGTGGAATGTCAAACGTATCTCGGGCTGAAAGGATATCAAGATCGTTGTTTTCTTCCTCTCTATCTCACTCCGGATACTCTTGATTCCTCCTTCTGCTGCTCGAATTTCATCATTGAAAGGATCCATCAGACCCTTTCATTCCAACTCAGCGCGTTATCTTCTCCCCTCTTAGCTTCTACACAAGACTAGCTTCCTTTCCTCCCTTCTTCGTTGCCTTCCGTTGTTTGCCTTTCCCATTGCTACCACAGCACAGACTGAGATATCCCTCCCTTATTGATGACATCGTTGTATGATTTTCGTTTTGTACTCCTGACATCTGCATCTGCATCTTGCTTTCTCCGCTGTTGTTTTCCATAACGAGTCAACTTATCTACCCTCAAAGATTGACTGTTGTACAAGATCGTTCGAAACAAGATCCCATCTCCATAGCTGCCGTGTAGCCTGCGATTCGAATAAGATGGTGAGTCCTGTGAAGTTGACCCAGCAGGAGGAAGGCAAGTGAAGCTGAGAGCTTGTCGGTCACGCAGGGGGAGCAAGGAGAGGTTTACATCTCATCCAATCCTGAAGATGCTAAAGTTGTTGAGGTCCGCGGTGTTCGTTTCCTCTCCCTCCCTCCTGAAGGACCTGCAGGGATTCAGGCTCGAGCATATGAACATGCGAGATGCAGACTCAGGGCAGGTGATCTGGATGTAGACGACCGAGTCTTGTTCTTGGTCTGCACAAGAGACTTTTGATCAATCTATGTGATGGAAGTTGATCTGACTGCATGTGGTGGATTCTTGGTAGTGGACTTAGTGTTTGGCTCTTAACTGCTGTCCTTGCTGCCTTCAGATCTTGTGGGAATCGCCAGCAGACTGGGAGGGAAAGTTCTTCTTTCAAGAGCTCGAGGCCCACGTGCCGCGGGTCAGTGACCAGCGGGACGTCGGAGGCTCCGGTTGACAGCACGTGCAGGAAATCCTCGCATGCAAGTCTGTGTCAAGGGAAGTGAGGTTTTCTTCGGTGGAGAAGATGGTGAGGGGAGAAGTCGTTCAAAGGTCCTGCCTGCTGATTCATCTTCGCCCTGGGTCTGTCAGGACGACTTCAAGCTGCTTCAGAAAATTTACTTCCAGGGCTCTTGTTTCGAGGAGGTGAGCTGAGAGTCAACTAGGACGGGAATCTTTGACGAGTGCCGTGCTCCAGTGGTTTTTCAAGTTCGGCTTCGTGATGCCCAACTCCACCAACAGCTGGCAGAGCACGATAGAAGCTGCGCCTGAAATGCTTCCAGTGACATGCCTGGCAGCTCGTCGGATCCTGAGGGCTGAACGTATGTGCAGGCTGAAATTTTGTCGGGCAATGTTACGATAGAAAGCAATTTCTTCGACGGGGAGGTTGAAAGTTGCGATTCCTGAGGGGGCTGGTGCTGATGATGACGTGGCAGAGGCTGCTGGCCAAGAGTTTAATACGAGTGTTCTACGAGTAGAACACTCGTAATAGTTTCCAGATGATTCTTCTTGAACGCTGCAAAGTCGTAATCTGCGCCTTGAGAGAGATTCCGAGACAGAAAGAAATATGATAGAATGTTTTTCACTATCAGGGGAAGGCAGCAACATCGCAACCTTCGTAGCAGAGTTAGAAAGAGGTAGACAGATGTCAAGTTGTAAGGAGATGCAGACAGTCTGTGCTGGTTCTACTGGATATGGCCAAGGGGGAGAGAGTGCGAGGTCAAGTGGACTGAAGTTTTCATTCGCTTCTCCTTTCACTCAAGAGAGTCAAGACTGGAGGATTGATGTTCAGATCAGCGTCAGGAGCGAGGTAGACATGTAGAATACTGAAAGGCGATACTTGAGACGAAACTTCAAAGTCAGTCGCTCCGGCACCGGCCCGGCCGGACGACTGCTACCCGCCGGCTCTTGCGACTCGGACAACTTAGTCTTTCACTTGAATGCTTCTGGGGGCGACAAGCGTCACAAAACATCCTCACTCGTCATGGGCGACAGACCAGACAGCGCGGCATCGACAGCAGTCTTGACAGCATCAGCTGCTGCCTGCTATCACCCCGCTCAGTCCTCTCCTCATATACACACATCCCTCCTACCTTGATCGCTTCCGGGTCATCGTTTCCCTCAGTACGCTGCAAGCTCGTCAGGGGGCAGCACAAGGAGAACTAAACTTCGCACAAGCTTCTTGGATGAGTTTCTTCTCTGGAGGATAGTAGGCTTCCCTCCTTTGCTGCCATTTCCTCCCGGCGCTTCCGCTGACGGGGCGTCAGTGGTAGGAGAGGAGGAGGGCGATGTAGGAGGGCTATCACCATTGAGCTGAACTTGGGGAGTCTCGCCGTGAACTTCCGAGCTGCTAACCTGCACGTGGGTGAGAAAGGAACGAGTCGAGAGCGAGACCCACAGCGAGCGAGGGGAGGGTGGGCAAAGTCTGCTCGTCCTGCTCGTCCTGATCGTCGTCATGAGGTTCGTCAACCTGCATGGGGGTTCAGGGAGCCCTCAAGCTTCTCAGCCTCCTCCCTCACCTCCTTGCGTTTTCTGAAGCTGTTGCTGCGCCTTGCCAGCAAGCCTTGCTTCCCCTTCTTGGCTGTGACATGGCCAGGGTGAGCACGAAACCACATCGACAGGCATGGGAGGGGAACCTTCGGAGCTCGGACTCTCCAGCAGAGGCTGTTCCAGCACAGTCTCCTTCCCCTTGATGAAAGAAGCTGCTGTCGCTGTGGTCAGCTGGTCGTTCTCTACCTTGCTCTTTCTCCGATTAAAGATGGAAGCCCGGTCGCTCGAGTCAGCACCGAGGTTCAAATTGGACGGCGACTCTCCTGCGATCTCGTATGCTGTTACTGTCATGATCACGGCGTCTTCGAGCTCGTCGGAACTTTCTACTGGGTTGCTGAGCTGCACCACAGGCGCGTTTGCGGCCGTCGGTGTGTTCCTATTGCTTCTTCGTCCGAGCAGCGTGTTGGTTTCTTCCTTGCCAAGGTTGAGGGTCGGTGACTGCCCGTCGAGCTGGGCAGCAGAAACAGCGAGAGAGCCGGGTGTGAAGAGCTCCTCATCGTTAGCTCCGTGCATGGAGTTGAAGTCCATGCTGCTGCTGAGAGTGGTCAGAGAGCTGGCGAGCTCACGCTTGCTGACTCGCCTTCCGTTGGTCGTGCTCGTGCCTGCGAGCGACACGTCAGACCTGAAGTCTGACGGCTGCTGCTCTGAATCCATGGGCTCCAGCTTCAAAACGCCCTTGCGAACGATGCGGAGCAGTTCCTCGGCCGATTCTTGCAAGCTCTTTCCACTGGAACAAGAGCAGATGGTCAGGTCAACACGGTGAGCAGAAGGAATGAAGAAGGAAAGAGAGGGTTGGGAGGAAGAGGCGAGAGGCAGAGGGAAAGAGGGGGGGGGAAGGGCAGAGGGAGAGGGAAAGAGGGAGGGAGAGGGAGAGGGAGGGAGAGGGAGAGGGAGACGGGGAGGGAGAGAGACAAGGGGGGGAGAGAGAGAGGGAGGGGAGGGGGGGGGAAGGGAGAGAGAGAGGGAGAGGGAGAGGGAGAGGGTCGGAAAGGGGGGTGGGGAGAGAGGGAGAGGGGGGGGGCGCCGGGAGAGGGAGAGGGAGAGGGAGAGGGAGAGGGAGAGGGAGAGGGGCAGAAGAGTGGGGGAGTAACACTCACGTTATCGCCGAATACGTCGCAACTACTCCAAAAACTGCGGTGCTGGTGATGGCTCCGATTTTTATCAATCGGCCAAACATCGAAAAGTCTTGCTCCTCGCCCTGTTCTGTTTCCTTCATCAATTCGAACGAGACAGTCTGCAAACACTGAGCCGCCACTCTCCTTCATGCTCTTGTCGTCATGGCAGGCCATCTATTTCGACCTAACTAGTTCATCCCAGACCTATTCAACTTGTTTTTATTGACCCTCCTCATCGTTTCCTTGAGTATTTAGATAACTTTTCAAACTATCACGATCTTGATAGATCGTACCAGCATATTAACGCTCCAGCATTATCAATTTTCATAATTTCTCATGATTTAGTTGATCTAACCTTCTTCGCAATCTATCACGATCTTGCAACCTCTTTCTCCACACAGTGTGATCAACTTCCAGCTCCATCCCCACTCTCATCAAATCTGTCATGCCTCCTCGCACGCCCTCTCGTTTCTACACTCCCATCATCCCCTATATAGAGCTCCTCTTCCTACTGGCACCATCATACCCCTTGGACCATCTCCCCCCCCCCTTCTCCCCCCTTTTCAATTATCCTTCCCTCTCTGTCCCTTTCCTTCTCCTGTGCCCCCTTTCTCTGATCTCCTCCACGTTTCCTCATTCTTCTCACCTCTTGAATTCCCCTCCAAATCTCTCTCTCCTGCTCTCCTGCTCTCCTTTTCCTCCTCCTTCTCGTCCTCCTCGTCCTCCTGCCCTCCTCTCCTCCTCCCATGCTGCTCTCCTCGCCTTCACCCCGCTCGCTTGCCATCGTCGCTTCTCTACGCCAGAAATGAACTGCCTCGTCCCCACTCAGACCAAAATGAGGCAGAGAATGAGGGGGATGAGTAAATAGCACTGCTCCGACTAATGAGCGTTGCGTCGTCACTCAGTCACATGTTTGACCATCATGAACTGAGGATGGGATACTAACAGCTGAAGTTGTGAGGACTGGGCAGCAATCAGCATGCAAAAGGAGGCCGGGAGGGGGGCAGATGCGACTCAGCACGGGCGGCAGCGAGTCGGAACATGCAGCAATGGAGCTGCCTCTTGCTCACTCTCAAACCTCAGCAACACTGATAAATTCAGATGTATTTACTATCTGTTAAAGGCAGTTGAAGTCTCAAATGGAGCCTGTCGTCACACAAAAATGCAGAAAAAAGCAACAAGACACTGTCACTGATGATCACGCTATCGACAGGCGAACACCATCCAAACTGCCCACCAAGGCTCTCGACTCAAACTCCAGCACTTAGATAACAGCTTCACTTGGTGCTGATCGTCAAGTTGCCGTAGGGATTCTCTGGTCCTGTCCAGGCGTTGGGAACTTCCCCTGATCCCAATCCGGACGATGGCGGAGCAACGACGCCCCAGCCATGGCCAGTAGCGACCATGGGAGCAGGTCCTCTCCCGCACTGAGCTTGTCCTTGTAGAGCCCTCATCAGACCCAACAGCGCAGGCAGCGCAAGAGCACAGCAAAGTTACCGTTGAAGTTGCACTCTCCGCTCGACCAGCCCCCGGCGGGAGGTGCTGACCCCCTGCAGCAGGAGAGTGAGTGGCGGGAGGGCGGGCAACGGCAGCACGAACCAAGATCCGTGAGCACCGAGAGGAATCTTGGGTCCGAAGGGGTTGTTGGCTCCTACCCAGTTGTCGCCAGGATCCTTGGAGGTAGCAACGTCAGATATGCAGAAGCAGGTAGGGCACTCACAGCGTTGGGCTGCCAGCTGTTGTTGCTGGGCGTCCAGGTGTTGTAGTGCTCGTTCGGACCCAAAGGAACGTAAGAAGGGTTCTGAGCGAGCATGATGTGTGCATGGTATATAAGATCAAACATGTTCTTTCCTGCAGTTTCTGATCAGTACATGGATGTGGATCTCCGGAGGAATGAGAACTTCTAACAAAAACAAACAGCTCAACAAAAGAGCGACAAGCATGCACGCTACTCGGTATCTGTAAAGACTTGGTACAAATTCTGCAGTCCACCTAGCACTGGTTTCATGGATTCAACTCGTTAAAATTGAGTTTGTTCTCTGGTTTGCATTCCTCTACAATCTAAAACAAAAGCATGAAATCAAAGACGATTACATCTACCCGTTTGCTTCCTATCTCTCTCCTTCCCTCTGCCCATCTGTCTCAATCTCCCCCGCCCTCCTTGCTCCCCTTAGTTACATCTACCTCCTGCCTTTTGATGAATAGGATTGAATCGGATTGAACTAATGATCCATGCTCCCGCTCTGCGAAAGAGCAGGGCGATCAAGGAGCAAAGATAAGAGGAGGGGAGGAAGGAGGAGGGGGCAGGGAGCATGAGGACGAACGACATGCTCCAGCACGTTCAGCATCTCAGCATGTCATGCCGGAGCGCAGAACAGCAGCGTTCTAAATCTGTTCATGGACTCAGGCCCTCAGACATAGTACTGGATCACCCCCAAAAATAAAATCTGAATAGGGGGTGGGGGTACAATGTGAATGAGCCCGCCGGGCCCGGCCCGGGCCGTGCCGCTGTGACTGAGTCTTGACTCCCAGGCGGCTGGCACTGAGTCGCACAGCCTGGCAGCCACACGGCGAGAAGAGAAAAGACAGCGAGAACTTCATGTGACAGTTCACTCAGTGACTGTCGCCGGAGTCGGACCGGGATCTCAGGCCGATGATCCGACGAGACGGGCCCGGCGGGCCGGGAGCCGCCGGCCCGGCGGCCCGGCGCCGGGATCAGAGGACAGCAACTATCACTTATTGCGGTTCCTATAGGCGAGAAGTGATAGAGAAGGGCAGCGCAAACTAGAGGCTGAACCATGCATGATTGGTGATGGTAGCGCGGCGAGAAGCAGAGGAGAGAGGAAGAGGAGGAGAGAGGGAGAGAAGGAGAGAGATAGAGGAAAACTAATGCAGAGAGGAGGAGAGAGGGAGAGAGGGAGGACGAGGAGAGGACGAGGGAGAGGGGGATAGCAACTCTTGAGAGCCCCCCATTGTCGTGATGCCTGGAGGCGATGTCTGAAAGAAGACGAGGATTGAAGGAATCATGAGGGCAATCAAGGAGGCAAACCTTCCGGCGAGTCGAGATGACATGCGAGAGCGGCTGCTGCTGGATGAGGACAAGTTTGTGGACCTCCCGGGGGTGGGAGGAGAAGGAAGGGGAGAGCAGGTGGAGATCGAGAAGTCGGAAGGAATGCCGTCGCAGGGACATGTCGTCTCCAATGGTAGCGCGCGCAAGAATGAAGCTGCAAGTGATGGACGAGGAGGACGTACGAGTAGCGAGGAAGATCCTCCAGGAGCTGAGAAGCAACATGATGAGGAGGAGGGTACGTCTGACAGCTGTCAAGAACATGACCTCAACCGTCGGCGGCGGAAGAGGGTGAGGTATAGGTTTGCAAGCCTGTCGTTCATCCTCCTCACCCTCGTCGTCTTGGTCTCCTTCTTTGCTCTGGGATTCTGGCGGGGATGGGACAACTGGATCCAGCTCAGTGCGGTCACTTCGATCTCCGACCTTCTCGATGAGGAGTTCTGGAAGAAGAACGTGACCCCTTGCTGCCTTGTTTTCCTCTTCCTCCTCTTCTCATCTCTCGCTATCTGCCTGAGTCCTGCAGAAGATGCAGAGCTGAAGAGATCGTCTCCCTTCGATCACGCAAGCGCTGCATCCGTCGCCACCTTCTGGTGGGTGTTCCCGACCTTGATGACAGCGAGGAGGAACAGGAGGCTGACTGCTGCCGACCTTCCTCCTCTCTCCTTTCACGACCTGCCATGCAACCTCCGCAAGAGCTTCACAGACATCGTTGATCGTCGACCGCACGTGCTGTCTTCACCCTGGAGCCTGTGGTGGACCGTGACGTTCAGCGCACAAAAGTCAGTGTTCCTTCACTCCTTCTTCTCTGGCTGGGCCTTCTTGGGAGCGATGTTCATGGATCCCATCCTCCTCAAGCTCCTCCTCTCCAGCGCCAGCGAGCAGGGACAGGAGGAGCAGGACGTGGCAAGAGCACTCCAGTTCCGCCTGCTCGTCGTTGCCCTCCTGTTTCTCAGCATGCTGCTGCGAGTGACATGTATGGAGCAGTGCTACTTCAACTCCCTCCGAGTGGCAAACAACGCAAGATCCATCCTCATCATGAGCGTCTTCCGCTCTGCCCTCAAGTCTCACAGGTCAACAGCTGAGGCTGGAAGGCTGACCAACCTCCTCGCCACGGTTCCCCTTCCTCCTTCTGCAGGCTGTGCTCGTTGCTGACCCTTGCCCCCCAGGACGTGGACAAGGTCGGCAAGTGCGAAGCCGTTGTGTGGTCTCTTGCCTGCTGCACCTGGGCCCTTCTCTCCCTCCCCGGCGTTATCTTCATGACGTTTCGCCTCGTCGGACGAGCAGCGTTCGTCGGCATCGCGACGCTTGTCCTGTGCAACCAGATCGCCTCTGCTCTCAGCAAGAGGACGCAGCCGGTGAGAGCTGAGAGGGGAGTGGAGGAAGCGAGCAGCGGTGAGGTGACTGTGAGCAGGTCGTCAGGAGGCTGCAGGAGCTGAGAGATGTGCGGGGAAGTCTTCTGCTGGGGCTGCTGAGAAGCATGCGGCTGGTGAAGCTGGAGGGCTGCGAGGCATCATGGCAGGAGCGGGTCGAGGCTGCGCGAGGGGAGGAGATGAAGTACCTTGCTCAGATGCGGTACATCTCTGCCTCCAACGTGCTCGCCGGCTCGCTGTTCTCTCTCGCTGTCCCCGTCTCCATCTTCAGCTTCTACTCGCTCGTGCAAGGGAGGCTGCTGGAGGCGACCACCGCCTTCACCGCGCTGGCATGGATCAGTCAGATGCAGTGGACGATCAACACGCTGCCGGGCATCTACAACATGCTGGCGACGTTGAAGCCTTCCTTCCAGCGCATCTCAGACTTCTTGAGCTCCTGCCAGCACCTCGACTCTTCTCCCCTCACCTTGGGCAGATCGCGAGAGCGCCCTGCTGACCTCCTTGCCCGGGTCAAGCTAAGAAATGTCTTCCACCACTCTCAGCCACCAGCTGGAGATGACGAGGTCGTCCCGCACGAGGAGGAAGCGGCAGGATCGCCGCAGACTTGTCAGCTGTTTGACATCCAGGTGAGGGCAGGCGAGGTTCTCCTGCTCCTCGGCGAGATCGGCAGCGGAAAGTCAACTCTGCTGTCGCTCATGTCAGGAGCGAAGCCCGCGAGGTCGATGGAGGTGGAGGTGACGAGGAGGAGGGCGTACGTGAGTCAGATCCCCTTCGTCCTCAACGACACGATCAGAGCTAACGTTCTCTTCGGCCTCGACCTCGACGAGCAGAGGTACAGAGACGCCATGGCCAGGTCGCAGATGGCCAAGGACATCGCCGGCATGGTGGACGGGGACGCGACGCTGGTCGGGCGGTCGGGGGTGCAGCTGTCGGGAGGGCAGAAGTCTCGTCTGGCGCTTGCTCGCGCCCTCTATGCCGACGCGAAGATCGTCTTCCTCGACGACGTGTTCTCTGCCGTGGACGCGCAGACAGGCAACGCGATCTGGGAGGAAGCGATCGAGTGGCTGGTCGCGCGGGGCGTTGGGGTTGTGCTGGTGACGCACCAGCTGCAGCTGCTTCTCCGGCCTCAAGTCTCGCACGTCGCCTTCCTGTCCCAAGGGCTCGTTACCTCCTATCACGCCGTCTCCGAGCTAGACCGATCACTGGCTGGCGACGGAAATCAACGAAAGCGGCAGGAGGCGGAGGATGTTGAGGGAGAGGACAGGACGGGGATGAGGAGGATAGAGGATCTGATATCTCGATACCAGCTGAAAGATGCCAACCAGCGGCTTCGAGCTGATCGCCAGCAGGTCGACGAGCCGGACCGGCAGGTCAGGGAGGAAGGCGTCTGCGTTCAGACGTGTGCCAGAGTCATTACAAACCACCTGAAGAAGCTGCGAGGGTGAGAACGAGCCTCCGTCTCTCCCTCCCTCCAGCGATCCATCCCGCTCTACTGCTCTCTCTATCTCCCTCTTGACCTCCCTCCCGCCCTCCAGCTATCCCTCTCTCCCTCTTTACCTCTCTTCCTCCTTCACTTCCTTGTCCTCCCTGGCTGGCTGGCTGGCTGGCTGGCTGGCTGGCTGGCTGGCTGGCTGCCTCCTCTTCTGCCGCCCTCTCTCCTTCGTCCTCTCTTCCCTTTCTTCGTCATGACTCGTGGGACAGGAAGAGGATCGATGATCGAGTCATCGAGACGCTCCGAGCTGTGATGCTGGATGGGCTTAAGGAGGTGGAGGCGAAAAGGGACGGGCTGATCTCGTGGGAGGACTTTACCATCTACTTGAGAGTGTTCGGGAGCTGCTGGAGCCTTTCTTTCCTCCTCCTCTCCGTCCTCCTGTGCAGCCTCCTCTCCGTCGGATCGAACGTCTACCTCTCTAGCTGGGTGGACAGTAACCAGCGATGCAATCAGACTGCTGCTGCTGGGGAGAGTGACGGTGCTGACGCGTGCTCGAGGAGGAGCCAACAGGAGTCTCTTATCGTCTACTCTGCTTTCGGCGGCTGCTCCTCTCTGTTTGTCACCGTCCAGTCCGTCCTCCTCACCCTCTGCGCGCTCAAGGCGTCGCGAGCTCTGCATGCGACCATGTTGGACAATGTGCTGAAAGCGCCGATGGTGAGGAGAGAGGAGGAGAGGACAGAGGGTAACAAGAGGAGATGAAGAGATAGTGAGAGGAGGAGATGGAGGGGATAGGGGAGGGAGGACGGAGAGGAGGAGATAGCGAGAGGAGGCAGAACAGGAGCAGGAGCAGGAACAGGAGCAGGAGTAGGAGCAGGAGCAGAAGGTGGAGGGGGAGGGTTGCTGGAGGGGACAACTTGACTTTCACCTCAGAAACTCTTCGACGAGACGCCGGTCGGGATGATCTTCAACAGATTCGTGCAGGACCTTGCCAACATTGACAATTTCGTCCCCGACGCCGTCCTTGACCTCGCCTCCAAGACTCTCTCGGTCCTCACTCAGCTGTCCCTCGTCATCATTTTCGCTCCCTGGACGCTCCTCTCCCTCCCGCTCATCCTCCCCCTCTACCTGTTCATCTTCTCGGCCGTGCGCATAGCAGGTAATCCACTCCCTGACCTCCTCCCTCCTGCTCAACCTGCTCAGCTCGTGACTCGCGGAGGCTCGAGAGCATCGCCCACTCGCCGGTGTACACGCAGTTCAACGATGCTCTAGAGGGCCTTACGACAATCTCCGGTACCACAAGACACCTTCCTACCCAGCTACCCTCTCCTCCTCCTCCCTCTCTACCCACCTAGCCTCTCCTCCTCCTCCCTCTCTACCCAGCTGCCCTCTCCTCCTTCTCCCCTTCCTACCCAGCTACCCTCTCCTGTTTTCTCCCTCTGCCCCGTACAGCTACTCTCCTCTCAATCTCTCTCAGCACAGCTACCCTCTCCTCCCTTCTCACTCTCAACTGTCTCAGCATTTGGAGCGCAAGCCAGATTTCTGCGAAGGAACGAGGAACTGATACAGCAGATGTCTGTTGCAAAGGTCTCCTCCTCCTGCTCCTCCTCCTCTCCTGCTTCTCCTCCTCCTCCTCCTCCTCCTCCTGCTTCTCCTCCTCCTCCTCCTCTACCTGGCATGACGATTCTCTGGCAGGTCGGCAACGAAGCTGTGTGCAAGTGGGCGCAGGCCCTGACGACGCAGACAGGAAGCGTCCTGTACCTGGCGTGCGGCCTCGCATCGATATACCTCCACCATGTCCGGCAGATGTCAGCGGCCGAGATGGGGCTGGTGCTGCTGTATGCCAACACGCTGCAACGAGCGTTCATGGACTACATGATGACCTTCACGCGGCTCGAGACTCAGTTCATCTCGGTGGAGCGAGTGGCGGAATTCTGCCGGCTCGAGGAGGAGGAGGAAGTCACTTCCTGCAGCCATGGTAAGAGAAGTGGCAGGAGGGCGGGGGAGGAGATTGTTGAACCACCTCGTCCTCCTGCCTCTCACCCTCACGGCGAACAAGGAGGCGGAGCGAGGAGGAGAGGAGAAATCGTCTTTGACAACGTCTCCTTGCGTTACGAGTTTGACAAGCCAAGAGTTCTCCGCGGCCTCAACCTGCGCGTGCGAGCTGGGACGAAGGTTGCGCTATGTGGGAGGACAGGATGTGGCAAGAGCTCGTTGTTTGCTGCTCTCTGTCGCCTCTACCCCATCAGCAGCGGCACAATCAGCATCGACGGGGCTGATATCGCAACATGGCCTCTGAAAAAGCTTCGATCGTCCATGGTAAGAAGCTCACATGTGCTTTTGACATTGCACTGACATCTCTTGTCTTGTCTTGTCTTGTCTTGTCTTGTCTTGTCTTGTCTTGTCTTGTCTTGTCTTGTCTTGTCTTGTCTTGCCTTGCCTTGCCTTGTCTTCGTCTTGTCTTGTCTTGTCTTGTCTTGTCTTGCCTTGCCTTGCCTTGCCTTGCCTTGCCTTGCCTTGCCTTGCCTTGCCTTGCCTTGCCTTGCCTTGCCTTGCCTTGCCTTGCCTTGCCTTGCCTTGTCTTGTCTTGTCTTGTCTTGTCTTGTCTTGCTTGTCTTGTCTTGTGATCCACAGAAAGTAGTCGCACAAGACGCACTTCTCCTCGAAGGAAGTCTCCTTGACAACCTCACCTCCTTCACGGGGAGCGATTCCCCTGACCTTCGCAGAGACATCTGGCGCGTGCTGGAGCATGTGGGGCTGAAGGAGAAGATTGACAGGCTGCCAGGAGGGCTGGACGCGAACATCAGGCAGGACGACTTCAGCGAGGGGGAGCGTCAGCTACTCTCTCTCTCCCGCGCTCTCATCAGCACCAAGTCCAACAGCACGGAAACTCCGCTCATCCTCCTGTGCGACGAGCCGACGAGCAACGTTGACTACGCTAACGACGAGAGAGTCCACAGGGTGCGAGGGGAGGAGGAGCGAAAGGGGACGTAACTTTACCCGCAGGTGATATTGGAACTTCCATGCACAGTCATTATGATCTGCCATCGCCTCCAGTACATCGCCTCCTTCGACCAAGTCGTCGTGCTCGAGGACGGCTCTGTGCTCGAGCAGGGAAGTCCGTCCGAGCTACTTGCGGAACAAGGTCAGGAGATCTCTTGCGGCCCGATGGCCTGACGAGCATTGCAGGGAGCGGGAGGCTCCGGCAGCTATGCCTGCATGCTGGCCTTGACCCTGACGAGATGAGATGGAAGGGACAGGAAGACGATCAACGCTGAGCAAGGAGAAGGGACTAAGAAGTCATATTAAGGAGCAGGAGGGATAAACAGGTCATAGTTTGAGCAATCTACATATATACATACATATATACATGTTCACATGCTACATCACTAGCTCAGCGAGCAGCTGCTATGAAGCCCCTCTCCAGCGCCCTCCTCTCAGCGCAAACTTTGCGGCTGCTCTTGGCAATGTCCTTGTTGGGCGTCAGGCACTGAGGAAGAGGCTCCCGCCGGCTGCCGGGCTGACGATCGTCGGAGGAGGTCACTTGCTCCGAGGAGCGGCTCCGAGCCTGTCCACCACCATCACACGAGTCCTACTCCATCAGCCTCGCGCGCCTACCGGTGCCGACAACTCGTCATCCTGCGATCTCAGGACCCGCCCCTTGGAACGAGACCTTCTCGGAGAGCATCTGCTCAGCACGTTCTTCCCGTGCGCATCTTCCAGACGCTGTGGGGGAGAGTCAGAGGGAGAGTCAGACGCAGGAGAGCGGGGGGGATTGGAGGAGGGAGGAGTGAAAGTGAGCGAGGAGAAATCTTTCTGTCTGCCGTCGCTGCAGAACGAAGACGATTGACCGTCATGTCCAAACTTGACAGCAAAGATACTTTCGGTACTTATGGAGCCGCACGAGCCACAAAAGAGACTCGGCGGTTCTTGGAAGCACCAACAAGGGTTGAAGGAGTGAAGAATACCTTGAGCAAGCGAATCCCGTCCTCTACCGATGCTCGACCGTTTTTAGCTTCAAGGGCATAAATCTGGAATGCGTCCCCAAAGAGTCTTGTTGAGGGGGGGGACCTGCAATTCTTGCTCATCTTGTCCAAGACCTGAGAGGTGTTTCAAAAAATCTCAAGTATTGAGGCAGGAGAAACCTTCTCGCACTCTTTCAGTGAGGCTTGATTGTGAGCGGCCGATGCTGAGGCGACTTGAAAGAACCCCTTGTAAAGTGCAGGATGGTGTGATATTCCTAGCTCTTGAGCTTGTTCGATGAGTTTTTCAGCATCAGGAACTGTTGCAAACCCCCATGCTGCAGAGTAAACGTGAACCTGTAAAAAAATGTCAGATGGGTCGCACATTACGCTGCCGAAAGATCACCTGCATCGCAAGGATAAAGGTTTCAAGATCTGGAGAAAGATACAAAGCCCTCATCCTGTCGATAATTCTGTGCGCATCTTTGCTGCTACTCTGGCCGTAACGACTGGAAGATACTGCAATCTTCATAATCATCTTGAGTTCATCTTCACCTGGATTTGGCATTGATCAAGAGGATGAGTGAAATAGGGTATATCAAAATAACCTTCACAGATTCCATCATTTCTCATGTTCTGTACGACCATGTATGCTTGCGCAACAGAAGACCTTCCCATGCTCGCCAGTCCAGCTATAACCCCGAGCTGCAAGCGGTAGATTCCAGCATCTTTGCCAATACCCTCCTGTTTCATTCGTTCCAAGACCCTCTCTACATGGGTCATGTTTGAGCTACCATGGTAAGAAGCTCCTTCAATCAACTGGTAGCAAACCGTTAGACTTGTTGGCTTTTTCAGATGCCATAAACCTACCTCCAACAACTTGTAGAAAGTCATGTAGGTGGGAGTGATCCCAGCTTCCATCATTCGATTTAGAACCGCAAAACCATCGTCTGCACATGCATGTCCTGCACGAGCAGCACCCGCTTGTGCATGCATCATAGAATTGTACATAATAATATCATAGATGCTTCTTTCGATCAGTGTCCGATTGCTTGATCTTCTCTGGAAGAGGTCGTCAAAGTTTCGTTGCATCTCTTTCAACATTTCCCCTAGTTTGAATCGTTGGACTTCATCCAAAGGTTCAGCTGAAATCTCATCTGCTTGTTTTTGGCCCTCTTTCTCCATTCTCCGCGATTCTATTTCACGATGGTCTAAGGCAAGTTGAGCGTTCTCTTCTATGCTTTGAACAGTATCATTCACTTCTTCAGTGTCTGCAAAGCCTTGATGAGTGATCGAAAGTTGATTTCTTCTCATCGAGAGGAAGGTTTTCTTCATCGATTCTTTATCTGGTTGTGACTGAATCTGATTTGAACCCGATCCACGTTTGGACCCCTGCAAAACAAAGTTCATCACAGACCGGTACGCAACTTAGAAAACCAAACTCACATTCGAAATCAGCCATCTCATTTCTTTCTTCAGACGATTTTGAACGAGGTGGCCTCTACCACCATTCACAACTGCCAGAAGATTGTTTGCCGGAGCAAGATTGTCGTCTCCAAGCACTTCATCATGCTCCGACAGATTCTCTGCGTGACTGACATCTTCCTCAAGTTCGTTCAGATAGTATTGATCGAACGGAAGTGGCAAATGCTCTGCCTCTTTGTGAAGATCGACGTCGCCTCGTGGACTCACACTGCTGGCTGGAAATTCAATCCTGAAATTCTGGTTTTGATAACTGTTTCCACTTGCTAACTGCATGGGCTGATCCAGTATCAAGTCAGGCACACCAGCAGGGTATCCGGTGCTGTATTGTGGTTCTTCGGGCAGTGATAGGTAAGATCGTGGAGATTCGTTCAAACTGCAATGAAATCAAAGTGAATCCTGATGATATGAAAGATAATTGTTAATCTCACTTTTCTGCGTATACGGTTGAGTGAGTGATATCTGAATGTTCGAATGCTGCAGGCGGATTTCGGTTGTAAGGGTCGTCGAAAAAATCGTTCTGGAAGGACATGTCAAAACAGAAGCCCCTTCTTCGAACGGTGAAAGGATAAAGAAGTACCTTACGAATATCATCATTCTGAGTGTGACTTGTTTGCATGCCTGCTTGCTGCACAGGGCATCGGTTGTAAACTGTCATTTGAGTTGCATCCGTTGGAAATTTCGACTGAAAAAGGCGTTCAGTCTTGCTTTGTGATCAGGTCATGATCACGCAGCTTACATTCAGGTCGCGTGATACATCTTCCTCTCCAGTCCTGTGATGAATCAAAATCAGGGCTGTATTGATCGGAATTCACGCTATCAGATCGCACCTGCTCCTTTGAGGATACCGTCCTCTGTGTCTCAGTGCTTCCAGTTTCGATATCAGCGTCCAACGCTCATCTACATTGTCATGACCTGTTGCATGATATTGTGAATGACCCTTCTTTGACCATCTTTCTTGTACCGTACTCCAACGGATTGCCTAAATTACCTCCAATTGCAGATCCAGTGAAACCATTGCCACCTTCCAAGGGTAAAACATGAGTGCTGTGATCTGGTCTTCATGCACAACAAATCACCCAGATCAGGTATGGAATTGCCTTGAAGATTATGCGAACCAGGATCATTCATATCTTGGACGAAAGAATCATAACCTACACAAGTCGATCAATCGTTGAGGCACAAGCAACTATCGCGCGACCCTCACCATTCCCAGGTGTATCATCGCATCCAGGCATGCCGAATTGTTGGAACTGAGGCATGTTGTACAATGAAGGATCAAAGTCTGGAGGAAATGCTGAAGGTGATGTTGGCGATGTCGAAGAACTTTGGTGCTCCGGCATCAGGATATGGGCCAGCGAACCTTGCTCAGGAGGGGGTTGAAAAGAGAAATGGTTGTTGCCACTTGGAGGCCAGTATGAAGGAGGATACTGAGAATGCACGCATCGTTCAGATGTGGGAGCTCTGGGAAATCCAGACGCGAAATCTCCCATCATCTCTGTACAACCGCAGGGTTGGCACGCAACGATGATCGCGAGCGAGTAAAGCACTGCCGAAGCCCTCCGCCAGGTGTTCGAGACCGACAGTCCTCCTCGTCCATCCTCTCTGAGCATCGAGATCCATTCACCTCGACGCCGAGAGGTCCTCTGTCCCCTTGCGCACATCCCAGCCCCTTGAGTTTCATGGCATGCTCTTTCGCTCGAACTTTGAGACGCATCTCTTCGTCGACCTGGTGGCTCAACGGATGGCAACAGTTCCTTCCAGACGGAGGGGCTGAGCTTCATGTTGACTTGAAATCCCTTGTAAGCCTCTGCTAGCTCGCTACCTCTCCTCCTCCTCCTCCTCCTTGCTCATCCCTGCCTCAATCACTGCATGCATCTCGTCATTCACTCTCCACGCCCCACCAAGCGCAGCAACCACCCCAATTCTGAGAGTGTTTCAAAACAACCATATACACCCCTTATATTGATGGAAAAATTAGATACACTTTCAATAATTGAATGAAAAAGCTATATTATAAAATTTTAGTTAAGTATTGATATACTTCATCACCCCAGTCACAATATCTAATCTACCTGCCCCCTAATGATAGAGTTCTATCGGCGTTCGATTCACAGGGCTTCATTCACTCCAAAATTAGTTGGCGATGAGGTACCCCTAGACTTCCCTTTCTTCTTAGGAAGAGGCAGGTAAGATAGGGGTGATGACCCCTCAAATACCTTTTTTGAAAACGCCAATTCCTTGCCTGCCATCTCGTTCCAAAAGCACAACGCTTCACAAACTGATGATGAATGGAGGGTAAAGCAGGGGTAGTTTTACAGAGAAGGGTAGGGGTGATATAAATGGACCAACTTGTAGCCAGGGCCAGGGGCGTAGCATCAAAAGGTAGGTGGTAAGGAGGGATTGGAGGGGTGCCAATATTCCATAGGTACTTGTTGGGTAGGGTGGGGGTAGGGTGGGGTTGGTAGCAAGCCAGAAAGAGACCGTTACTTTGAACCGGGAAGACCGTTATGATTTACCGTTATGTGACGGTTTCAGAACGCATTGGGCAAAGGGGACGATGTATCGAACGTTACCATTGTTTTGTAACGGTTATTTGAATTTTTTTGCCCGTTAACAACTTCATCAGAGGGAGGGTAGGGTGGTGGTAGAAGTGAATCAAAGGACCCCTCCTGTGATAAAGTGTCAACAGTGCACAGACCCATTCTTCCCTAGAGGGAGAGGGGGGTGGGGGTACAGGCAGGGATGGGTCGCAGGTGTTGTGTGGAGGGTTGGATGTCTACAACGAAGGGGTAGGTGGTTAACCCCTGCCCGTTCAAATACCCCCGGTTTTCCCGGAGAAGGAGGGGTGGTCGATACCTTGATTCTACCCGCCATGTTACATGGCTATGCGAACGTAAGACGCGTGCATGCATCCCTTGGAGCTCGTGTCCTTGTACATGCTGCTTCTGTCTCCTCCTCTTTCAAGTTTCATCCTCCTCTCCGTTCAGTCTACCTTTCCTCTGCACTTGATGCCATCATGAACCTCGCAATCATGACCTAGGATCCATGCTTCCGAACTCGTGGATGGTTGCTTGAAGTCATCTAGATGCTGCTGATCTTGTCCTTCTGATGTCCTCTGGCTTCCATCATCACCAACCACATGCTCGCAGAGTCATCCCATGGGGATCCAGCAGAATCAAGGTCCTTACGGCATCATGCCGAGGTCTGCGCCGCAAGGTCAAGGCCGCCAAGGGCAACCAAGCTCAAGTCTAGGAAGAAGCGGCAGCCCAGCACCTGCCGCTGATCCCGGACCTTCATCCCAGCAGACCTCGTCCCGCATTTCCAAGAGGTCCTATGACATTGATATCGGTGGATGTGATAAAGGATGCGGGTTGTGGGTACCGATGTTGTTTGGATGTCGATGGCTGAACGCGGAATGTGAATCTCATAGGAACAGTTCTGACGTGAACTTGCAGCAACTCTCAATTCATCAAGATGGTCGGTCAGAACATTCCAGACATTTGGAGACAGGGTGTTCACTTCAACCTCAACGACAACAACTTGTTCTCCGTGAATGAGGTTGGGCCCAGGCGTTGCGGATGGATGCATGACTGAGTGTCAGGTCGTGGTGGTCTCAAGAAGCAATGGAGCGAAAACCTTTGGAATCGTTGAGAGGGTTCACAACGTAGCTCTCAGTGGAGTATGCCATTATCTCTTTGTGATCGACAATCAATGGCAGGACGGATCGGTCGACGTGAAGGTCGCTGAAGGGAATGAAAATGTTGGACCGCAGTATCATCGAAAGGCTCAATCGAAGGTCACCACCATCCTCTGTTATCTCTATTCTTTATGAAGAATCATCAATAGGCCTATGGCAAGATTGTGGACAATGTCAATCGGCTGGTTCTTCTCAAGGGAATCGCAAAAATTGAATTTACTGAGCAAGCGACAGCGGTCATCAATAATTCAGTAAGAAGTAGAGCATGATTGAATCCTTCATGACCAGATGTTTCAGGTCATGATGGCTTGTGATCGAGGGGCATATGAAGTCGAACCAGTGCATGTTGCTTGCGCTCTGTTCTCTACAAATGAGAAGGGGGGTATCATATCTCAAATTGTAAGTTTGACAAAACGAAACCGATTCGTTGTGAAGGCTTACTCGTGTATAGATCAAAAAGCTTGGAACTGAACCAACTGTCGTTGTCAACGCACTGTAATCACAATGTTTATATCAATTTCAAAACAGGGTTTGAAAAATATCACAGGCAAAAACTCTTGAGAGACCGCTCAGAAAATGCCTCGATGCCCATGCCGTTACCTGCAAGCCGTTCTCTGCTTCAGCTTCTATACAAGTCACAGACTAATGATTCAACCGAAGGAAAAAACATATCCGTCGACGAGGTGGATTTTTCTTTCCTGTTGCGTGCCTTACTATCCGATTTCAGCTCCTTCTTTCGTTGGTTTCAGATCCTCAGATCAAAATGGCTTTGGAAATTGTCAATCTGACGGAACAGTCCGTGAGAGATGCCGTCGATGCAATTCGTGATTATTTCTGAGCTTCAAGCATGCATGCCTGCTGACGCAAGCGATGTGCAGGCAACATCAAACTTAACCTGGGTGAAGATGTCGATGGCCAAGAGATGCCAGAGACGCTGTCACAATATGCCGTCGACCTTGTCCAGAAGGTATCATATCACAGCTACCCTCTCTCAGAGTTTGAACGGTTTGAAGGCTATCGATGGAAAGCTTGATCCCGTTGTCGGCAGAGATGAAGAAATCCAAAGGGTGCGTGTGGCAGTGTCCGAGGATACAATTGATTTGTGACGTGTCATCAGACGATTAGAGTTCTGTCAAGGAGGACTAAAAACAATCCTGCACTTATCGGAGAGCCTGGAGTGGGCAAGACAGCGATTGTGGAGGGTCTTGCACAAAGGATTGTAGCAGGCGATGTGCCAAAAGTTTTGCAGAAATGCAGGATCATGTGTCTTGATATGGGGTCTCTTATTGCAGGAGCCAAATATCAGGGACAGTTTGAAGAACGCTTGAAGGATGTGTTGAAAGAGATTGGAGAAGCAGAAGGCAGGCAAGATTATTTCAAATTTTGCAATCTTTTTTGCTGATTTCTCTCGCAGGATTATTTTATTCATTGACGAAATTCATCTTGTCCTTGGCGCCGGAAGATCTAGCGACGGCGGAATGGACGCAGCGAATTTGCTTAAACCCATGCTTGCAAGAGGAGAGTTGAGGTGTATTGGAACAACCACGTTGGCAGAATACCGGAAATACATCGAGAGAGATTCTGCTTTCGAAAGAAGGTTTCAGCAAGTGTTGGTTGGAGAACCGTCGCTTGCCGATAGCGTGAGCATTCTTCGCGGCATCAAGTCGCGATATGAAGAGTACCATGGAGTCAGAATTGCTGATTCAGCTTTGGCGACGGCTGTCGATCTGTCCAACAAGTATATCACTGGTCGTTTCTTGCCTGACAAGGCAATTGACTTGATGGACGAAGCTTGTGCCAATGTGAGAGTTCAGCTGGACTCTCAACCTGAGGTGATGGACCAGCTGATTCGAAAAATCAAGCGTCTCGACCTGGAGGCAGCAATGTTGGAAAAAGAAGATGACGCACAGAGTAGGGTCAGACTTGGCGAGGTTCTGTCGGCTCGTGTACAAGCCCTTGAAGAGGAGGCCACGTTGCGAATCAGAGTGCAGGTGCAGAAGGAAAGAATTCAGAGGCTCTCGTTCTTGAAAAAGGAGATTGAGAATGCCAAGAAACACATCAAGATGTACGAACACGCGGGATTGTCAAACCAGGAAGACCATCTGAAGAGGATCTCTGAAATCAAATTCTCTGAGCTTCCTAGCCTAGAATCTGAGTATGAGACGCTCGTGAAACAGAACGAAGGCGAGCAGTCCCTCTTCATCGAAGTTGTAACGCCGGAACAAATTGCTGAGGTTGTCAGCCGGTGGACTGGAATTCCTGTACATAGATTAACGCAATCAGAAAAGGACAAGATATTGGGCCTGCCTGATAGGTTGAAGGCGATGGTGATTGGTCAGGAGAAGCCTGTAGAGGCCATTGCAAACGCAATCATTAGGAGCAGAGCAGGGCTCGGAAATTCTGAAAGACCCACGGGCTGTTTCCTCATGCTCGGCCCGTCCGGAGTTGGCAAGACTGAGACTGCGAGGGCCCTCGCGCGTGAACTGTTCAACGACGAGAAAATGATGGTGAGGATTGACATGTCAGAGTTCCTTGAAGCCCACTCGGTCTATCGTCTGATAGGAGCTCCTCCTGGCTACGTCGGATATGACCAGGGAGGGCAACTGACTGAGTCCGTAAGGAGGAGACCCTACACTGTCATCCTCTGTGATGAGGTAGAGAAGGCGCACCCGCAGGTGTGGAACATTCTGCTCCAGGTCATGGACGACGGGAGATTGACGGACGGGCAAGGAAGGCTTGTCAACTTCAAGAATGCTGTAGTGATTCTTACCAGCAACGTCGGAGCTCAAGAACTGCTAGAGGGAATGCAACCTGAAGGGATCCCACCCAAAGTTCACAACCTTGTGCTCGACAAACTCAAGAAAGTCTTTCCACCAGAATTTCTCAACCGCCTTGACGAAGTGGCGCTCTATGAACCACTGACGATGGACAAGATGGCCAACATCCTGAGGCTACAAATGGCCAAGTACAATGAAGTCTTCGCTTCCAAGAGGATGGAGGTATCGATCGACGACGCGGCTTCAGATTTCATCGTCAAGCGCTCTTATGTGCCGTGAGTTTCGGTTCACCCGTAAGGTCTGGTTGTTAATGGAACTGACAGGTCTCTTGGGGCTCGCCCGCTGAAGCGAGTGGTGGAGCGGTGGATCATGACCTCGCTCTCAAAGTTGTTGTTCCAAGGCGTCATCACAGAAAACTCCAAGACGACCATCACGGCTGTAGATGGCAGGTACGTCTCAAAGACTTGTGCACTAGTTAACGATGAGCAGTGAGTGAGTGAACAACAGGCTCGGATATCGCGTTGTGAATGCTACGGGAGGGATCTCACTACACCTTGAATCCAACTCCAGCACGGACTGGTCTGATTCGCAATAAGTTCTATCTGATTCGCAATATGTTCTATCAGGACACAGCAGGGCTGCTGCTCAGTCGTAATGTAACTCTGCACATGCGCCCTGCCAGATTTTTTCAATGAAGTCAAACAGGAAGAGTAGAAATTACGTGGTGGGGAAAAAGAGTTGCACAAGCCCAAAGTCTCGGCAGCCCCTGGAACTTGAAGAACGTCCCGACGTGCTTGCCGTTCTTGAATGTCCGGATCAGAGTCCTTGTCTGACCTCCGTCGTTGGTTCTCTCCACAAGGAATCCGACTCTATCCTCGTTGCCGAAACCCGGAAGGGGCCGCGAGTGACCTGAAGCCCGATTGTCAGCAGAGAGAGAGAGAGAGAGAGAGAGAGAGAGAGAGAGAGAGAGAGAGAGAGAGAGAGAGAGAGAGAGAGAGCTCGTGATGGTTTCTAGCCAGCAGGACCTGAGGGTTTGGTCTCGGAACCGTAGCCCACAGCCGATATCCCATCGAGGCTGATGGCTGCCATCAAAGTTCAGCTGCAGACACAGAGCTCTTTATCCCTACTCTTATCCCACTGCCTCCTCGCAAACTCTGCCCAAGAAACTTCGCCCTGCTCCAGGTTGAAGCTGCCGCGTCATCATCGTCACTGCCAACTGCTGCACCGTATGAGCACCTGTCGTTCAACGCCCAGATGTCCACGCGTGATCGCTCATTCCACTCCCACGTTCCTTCCCAGCAATCAAAACTCTCGCCGCAAACTCCGAGGTAAAACCCCCCCTGATGCGAAATTGATTACAGTTTTCCTCCTCCTCCCTCGTCTCATGCCGTGACATCTCATCTGGTGTTCATCACTCGTCGCTCATCACCTGCAAGCACGCTCCCTTGTGTTGACCCGGAATGCTGATAGACAACTCGAAGAAATGCTCCCCGATGTCGAGAGGGATCTGAGAGTCGCACAAGCTGCTCAACTCATCTTTCTTCGCTCATCAGCAGTACCTCAGCTTCTGATCTGACTGACATCGACTTGCCCTGGCTCACCTTGTTCTTGCGGAGGCTCAGTAGAATCAGAACCCCAAGGGACAGATCAGACCTCGAACGCTGCTCTCAGCAGGTTTGACGAGAGCTTCAGCCCAGGGCCGACAAACTCTCTCGACCAGCAAGTGTAGAAGCCGTCGAAGCTGCTCGAGAGGCAGACGTCAGGTGAGGATGACGACTGACGAGCTAGTCTTCCCAGCAACATCGTGATCATCGTCGGGTCTTGAAGAAGGCACATGCCGAGCAGAGATCTGAGCTGAAGAGACCATCAGAGGAAGTGACATCCTTGTCATTCCCAGCTCCTCACCTGACGAGCCTGGATGGTAGAGAGTGACGAAGGCAAACAGGTCCACGTCCCTCGGCAGCTCGCGGAAGGCTGGCCGTTCATCGACTAACTCCTTTGGCGTCCCAGTGAGCCTCTCGTTCGCTTCCTCAGCAACTCTCACCTGGTCTCTGTAGAACCACAACTTGCCCTTGGAGCTGTCCACACAAAACCCCACCACTGAGCCGCTTCCAACGGCGCTGCCGCTCACCCAAACATCTGCCTGCTTCTTGTGCGGGCTGAGCAACTCAGCTCTGCCCTGAGTATCCCCTCGTGATGATCCTGCCGCCTCCTCCTTACCATCTCGCTCAACTTCCTTCCTCTATGCCTCACCAGAATCGCTCTCCGACCTCATGGCCCAGCAGAACTCCTTGCGGTAATCCTTCCACCACACTCCATCCCAGTTGTCAACCTTGAAGGAGTGAGTCAGCGGCCCGCGAACTCCTCCTGCCTCCCCCTACCTCCCCCTGCCTCCCCCTGCCTCCCCCTGCCTCCCCCTGCCTCCTCCTGCCTCGTCTGTGCAGATTCCGAGCCAGTAGAACCCGCCCATCATCGAGCCGACGTGCTTGCCCGGCCTCTTGACGGTCATCTCGAAGTAGTACATGCCGTCAGGAGGGATCGGCTGTGCTGTCCTGACAGAGCCGACCTGAGAGGAAGAGGTGAGGAGCTGGAGGAGATACAAGGAGCTGGAGGAGATACAAGGAGCTGGAGGAGATACAAGGAGCTGGAGGGAAAGAAGAGGAGACCTGGAAGAAATCCGTCCGAATGGCCGACGTGCCCAACCGATCGATCTTGATGCCATGAGCAACATGATTCTCCGACCAACGGAAATCTACTTTCTCTGACGAGACATCAAGGGATGGACAAAGCAGGGGAAGCGCTGCAGGTACCGATCTCAGTCATCCCACAGCCGATGAGACATGCTGTTTCTGCTTGACTGCAGCAGAATGTTAAGAGAAGAGCTGAGGACAGGTGGACCCAGTAGGATTGCACAAGGTGCAGGAGGAGCAGGGGCAGGGGCAGGAGCAGGAGCAGGAGCAGGAGCAGGAGCAGGAGCAGGGGCAAGGGCAGGGGCAGGAGCAGGAGCAGGAGCAGGAGCAGGAGAGCAGGAGCAGGAGCAGGAGCAGGGGCAGGGGCAGGGGCAGGGGCAGGGGCAGGGGCAGGGGCAGGAGCAGGAGCAGGAGAGCAGGAGCAGGAGCAGGAGCAGGAGCAGGAGCAGGAGCAGGAGCAGGAGCAGGAGCAGGAGCAGGAACCAGGTCTGAGTGCCTACGGGGAAATGGTCCTGCGCGCAGTTAAGTGAAGGTATCAGTTAAGTTTGTGGGACAGCAATCAGGAGGATTAGGTTTGGTTCTCGCTGTCTTTTCTCTTCTCGCCGTATCGCCTGTGCGACAGCCTCCTCGACTCTCCTGATTGTCCTGGTACTGATCTTTAACTTAACTTTGAGTAACAGAGGAAGCCTACCGGGCTTGCGGCCGGCCCGGCCCGGGCCCCGGGGGCCCGGGGGCGCCGGGGACTCTGAGGTAATGAGTCCGATCACTGCTTGAAGCATACATGACTGGTCACTGAGCGGCTCCAGTGAGATACAGGACAGTGTCTTTACTTGACTTTGAGTAAACTTTTACTCAAAGTTAAGTTAAAATCAGTACGAGGACAATAAGGAGAGTCGAGGAGGCTTGACCCTGACACTGTCGCACAGGCCAAACGGCGAGAAGAGAAAAGACAGCGAGAACCAAACCTAATCCTGCCGACTGCTGTCCAAACTAGTCTCTATCAAATGGGAGACAGAGGCCCGGTTTGTCAGATAGCATGCAAACTACTTCAATGAAGCTGCTTCTATCAGAGCACCGTGTTCTCAGCTAACCGTAGTAACTGCACTTGGCTGTGCCTGGCTGGCTACGTCCGATCTGAACGGTTCTCGTGTTGGGAAGCTCCCTGCATCACCTGCGGGGCTGGGAGAAGTGCGATCAAAATACATGGTCATACTCTCATCTCATGGTTGAAAACATGATTCTCGATCGAACAATTATGATATCTGCTACTGCCGCATTTTATCGGGTCCCACCCGACTGATTTACTCTTTTCGTTCCACAATAGTTCCACATTAGAACTCCGAGCGTACGGTTACAGCTGTTGTTTCACCGCCAACCATCACTTGTTCACTGGTCACGCGTGATGTCTTCGGCAATCCTCTACTGCCTCTACAGATGAATAAATTTCTGCTGCTCCTTCTCGGTGCCTTGCTTCAGCATCCCTGCACGATTCGATTTCGAGTTTGAGTCCTATGAGGAAACCAATCAGACAAACAGGAGGAGGACAGGATTAACACCAGCTCATCCTTCCAGGAAGAGATGTCATCGCCGAAGATGATGCTGGAACGAACAGGTGGTCAGTGAGAGCCAAGGTTGGGAGAGGTGTTGAGACTTTCTCAAGCAGCGGAATACTGTGAGGAGATCGTCGAGGCATGGGATGAGCGTTGAGAACCCGAGCAGCATTTCTTTCTCCGACTTGGTTATGATGGCCAGGTAGTAGGTCACAGTAGCGTATCCTATCCCTTCGTTGATGATCACATCTTCAATGCGCGATCTGCATTAGAGCTCTCAGAGTCCTCATAGCACAGAACAGCACGAATCTCCTCCCCACCTCTCCACAAAGAAGAATTCCTCCTTCCCCGAGTAATACCGTCTTCGCACCTTTCACCACACATCAGCGCTTACGGTCAACCAAACACCTGACAAGAACACCTGGATTCCCAAGTCGTGGACTACCAGCAGGGACTCCCGTTCCATCATCTGGCGGCGACTGGTAGAGGTACGTGAACGTTGAGTCCAACTCAACAACAGAAAGTACCGATACAGGATGAAGAGCACTAGGCTCAGCCATTGCAGCAGGAACAATCCGACCGAGCAATCAAGGATGTACTTGACTGCGAGGGAAGCAAACCCTATCTACACGCATCTTGTGTAAGCAGCTCGCAAGCATTGCTACTGCACATGTTCATACCTTCAGCGTTGTGATGGAGAAACTCAAGAATGTGATCGGTTGCTGGTGATCTGGATCAGCATGTCTTGGCACATCTTAGAACAGCAAACCTTGGGTGAAACCGAGTGGAATTCAACGATGCCTTCAGCATGGTGCTCCACCGTCAACGAGGGGATTTCCTTCATCTCACAGGATCCATAGAGGAGATCTGAACTTTGCCCTCTTTTTCTCCCTCTGTGTGTGATTCCTTTCCCTTCTTCTCCTCTCCTCTCCTCTCCTCTCCTCTCCTCTCCTCTCCTCTCCTCTCCTCTCCTCTCCTCTCCTCTCCTCTTCTCTCACTCCATTCTGCCTCGTTCCTGTTTTCACTTCATTGCCTTTCCTTCATCCCGCCCCCCGTTCTTCTGTTGACTAGGAGTATTTCACTGCCCCCAAAATAAACCATATTATATACTGAGGCGAGCTTCATTGTAGAGGAAAAGCGAAACATCGTCACTGTCAAGATCGGACCCTCCATGTCGACCATGAGCGCTGAGGAGGAGAGGCAGGAGGAGGAGGAAGAAGGAGGGAGGGCAGAACATGGGGACAGAGGAGAGGAAGATGAGAGTATCATGAAGATGGTGTTGACAACAAGAGCCTCCCCATCATGATAAGATAGCGGCAAAGACGGGGGCGGGGGCTCCGGCTGCCACCCATGCTGCTGCACTTGCTGCTTCTGTTGCTATTGACGGAGGGAGATGGTTGGGTGCAAGTTGCAGCACCCGAGCAGTCAGAGCTGATCCGTAGCCTGCCTTTTCTGGTGCGACTTCGGCTCGAAGATGACGTGCACGGGTATCAACTGATCCTGGACGACGACATTGCTTTTGAGGGCATGTCGCAAGGAGAGGATGTGGAGCACTTGGTGCTGCTGGGCAGGGGCGAGACGGAGCAGAAGAAGCTCTTGACATCAGGGCATCACAGTTTGAACGTTGTTGGTTTCGACAGCCATCAGAACAAGATCGGAGAAGTCGAGATTCCTTTCAGAACTCTATTCTCGTCGAAGCCTCCTATCGAGGTCCATGGAGTTCGTTCTGTGGTGATCATGGGAAACTTCAACATGTGGTCTTCTTCTAGCATGCAGGCCATCACAAACATGCCCTCCTCGCTCCATGCCGACGCCCTGCAGGACCTTGGTCTTGACGTTTATCGGATCGAAGAGACCGAAAACAACCATGATATTGCCCGGATAGCTGTAGAGATTCATCTACCGGACCTCTTCCTCTACATTCCCTCACAAGGTCTTCTAGACCAGGGGTACGGGAACCTAGACCAAGTGTGGGAGACATGCAGGAAGTTTGGAATCCCGTCAGTCGTACTTATCAGGGGTCAACCAGCACTCTTGGAGTTGCAAGGAGACAGTGAGTTGTGGAGCAGCGACTATGTCGTGTCCTCTGACGCAAGCGGATGGCTGGCCAAGATCAGAGGAAGAGCTCGACATGTCCTGCTCGCAGGCGCTGCTGCCGAGCGAGCAAGCGAGCACGACGGTCTACCGCGTTCTCTTCCCAGTTGTCCTCTTACTCACCTCCTCTACGACGTCGTCGTCCCAGGCATGAACTCGCGCAAGGAGCATGTGCACATCAGGAATCAGCTTGTTCGCGTGCTCCGTGACCGTCTCCCCGACTTGCGGATCAGGCATGAGGTTGCTGGTGTAGATGGTGAGACTTTGGGTGAAGCGTTGCGTTGCTCAAAGCTCGTTCTGCTCCTATCGCCTTGCTCGCCCTTCTACCGCGGCTGCTCAACAGAAGGATACTGGGACGAAAACGTGTTCAACGTGATTGCTCAAGGTGGTTTGGTGTTTCATAACAAGGTCCAAGGACGCCGGCCAAGAATGAATGCAAGTGTAAGGGAATCGGAAGGGAATGTATCGAGTCTCGGGCACGACCTCGAAGACGGCCGCCATGTTGTACTTTATGACTTGAAAAATTCTGAGGATTTGGTGCAGAAGATAAGATACTATGTAGAGAACAAGACATCACGAGAGTTCATGAGAAGGAGAGCGTATTGGTTCGTGATGCAACGCCATACTCTCAAGACCAGAATGGAGGAAATGCTGGGGCATATTCAAAGTTTGGAGGCAGAAACAGACAGTTGGAATATGAATACCAATGCTCTAACTCCAAACTCAACAGAAGAATCAGCAATCAATGAGTCTTTGCCAATCTTGCAGCTGTCGTACCGACAGATCAAACATGAAATTATGTTTCTAAATGCGACCAGGTTTTCTCACTACACAACCAACCACGACCTGTTCTTTATCAAACAGTGAGTAGATTTGTCATGGTACAATCTTACTCATGTCTGGTGCTTACCAGTCCTCCTATTGCCGAGGTCGAAGCTATCCAGACTCGACCGAATTGTTTAGAGGAGGTAAGTGAAGTATGTCAGGCTAATTTGACCACTGAGACCTTCGCATTAGGATGAAGAATCGTTGTTGAGATCCACTTTGGGATATCACTTGCAGACACCAACAAATCCGTCAACCCTTGAAACCCACACGGTCATCGTTCCAAACGTTACAGTCAGGTGAACTGCTGTAAATACATCATGTCTTCGAAACTGCTGCTGTTTTCTGACGTGTGTCTTCAGCTTTGCCAGTCACCTTTGTTCCGACGAGGGGGAGATGCTATCTCTATTTGCCTATCAATCCACGAAAGAATCACTTCTGATCTGCAAGCAGATCAACCAAGCAAACATTGTCCAGGTCCTACTCCAGCCCTTGTAGTTTAGTACCCTGATTGATGCTTGACCCTGTGCTGTTCATGTCCTGACATGTTCCAAGGTCCAGAGAGCGCTTCTTGTTCCTGTGTATGCCAGCAATACCTGGCAACACTTCTTGCAAGATTTTCTCCCTGCATTCATGCACGGAATCGAGTTCCTCTCCAGATACTATGACAACAAGGAGACTTGTCAAGCCTTTGCGCTTCTAGAGTCTCGGCTGCCGAGCAATATCTATCCCATCCTCGACTTCATCATCGAAAATGACAAGCTGCAGTGGAAAACTGAGTGCACTTTCGAGCTCGACACGCTCTGCCTGTCAAACTTTGATCACAACCGTTGGAGGCACCCGTCTTACAGACTATGCTCAAGTTACCTTCGAGCTAGTCTGTTGTTCATACCATCTCCCGACCTTGATTTCGGAAAGTACATGTACGGTCTCTATCGCTTCAATGGTAATGAAAACCCTCAAGGGTCAGGTTTTCCGGTGTGTAATGTTTCCACCAGGCAAACTTTCGTTGGCTCGAAATCTTTTACTTGGATCGATTTTGAACATGGTAAGAAGATATCCTATCATTTGAATGCCCTTTCTTCTAGCCAGCGTTCCTCTCTCCCTCCTCCCCTCGGTGATTTCCATAGGTCTGACCAATCCTATTCCTTCAGCATGCAATTTCAAGACAACGTGGATGGTCATATCAATGGATTTGTTCCAAGGGGAACCAGAACTGTTCGTTGGAGAGCATCTATGGCGGGACTGAAGTCAAGAATGGAGGAGGGAGTTTGTTGAGAGTTGTTGTTTTCTCTCGGCGTACAGATCAGAATCTCTGCAAGTGGAACCTTGCTCCGCGCACTGACAACCATCAGTACGGGGAGGTCAATGGGGAGAGAGGGAAGATAGTCAAAGGTTACCAGCCTTCTGGCTCAGAAATCATCCCTCGTTGTTTGCTCAACGAGGAGCAAGTTGTCAGGACAGTTCGAAACTTCCTGGAGAGGGCGAAGATGGCGGGAGTTCTTCCTACGAGGGACTTCAGCATCGCTCGCATCCTCTCTTCAAACGCTCCTCCCCTCCTCGAGATTGCCCAGATGGTCGCTGACTCCAGCTTCATCATCGCCCCTCATGGAGGAAGCTGCTACAACGCGCTGTTTGCGAGGAGGTGACATGATGTGAATGTTTGTCTTGACTCGCCCTAACGCGAGTCGAAGGGGAACTGTCTTTATTGAAATCGTCCCAACTCTTGGAGATGTACACTCTGTCTTCAGGTTCCTGTCTCCCCTCGGGCTCAGAGTCTGGTTGCTTGCTGTCCCCGGTAAGACTTTGACGCTTCTTGTCCATCTTAGCTGACGTGAGCTGGAAGGAGGTACCCATTTCCCATCGCCTTCTCATCCTTTCGTGGTCGATCCCGTCAAAGTTGTCAAAGTTTTGTCGGCGGAGCTGCGGACGGGAAATAGAGGTCTTGACAGCATGATAGCATCTGTCTCCTGCAACCTGTCAAGTGCGTCAACGGTCGAGGACGGTCATCAGACTGTTTTCATTCTCGATGAATCCGCTGCTGCAGTTCAAGTTGAAATCTCTGTTGCCATGAGACTCTTTCGAGATCTGCAACTTTATGCAGAGATCAACTCCTCCTACGCTGGTTGCATCCTGTCGCTGGAAGTGGACGGGGTCGTCGTAGGTGACTTGGAACATCTGCTTCTCGCCCTCAACCTCCCGCAGATCAAAGGAGCTGGCGATCAGCGAACAACAGAGTGGTTGTCTTCCAGGTGAAAGCGTTGTATGACAGAGCTCTTGTCAACGTTGTCTTGTGCTCAGGTGTCTCTCATCAAGGATCGAAATCCAACCTCCAAGGTTGCTTGTGACCTCTGAACTTGTCAACATGCTGGGCTGAAGTGTTTGCAGATTCGCATATTCGAGTCTGATCCCGGGGAAATGCGTCACCACCTCTCTACAGCAGGTCTGACTCTTACATGGCCCAGCAACCAAATCCTCCACACAGAGAGACTCAGGGTCCTTGCTCGTTGCCCCTTCCCATCCCACATGATGGAGCGCGAGGGGGAGGGAGAAGTGCTGCGAGTGATAGAGCCTCTTGGTACCCATCAGCTGGCTATCACAGACACCATCTTGAGGTGCAGCTTGCTAGTCCGGATGCCTTCTCCAAGGAACAGCTCTTGGTCCTTCCGGATCTCGATCTCTTCCTCCTCGTCGCTGAAAGGGGAGGATGAAGAGAAGGAGGAGCGGGAGCAGGATCTTCTACCGTGGGTTACTGTCAACTTAGAGCACATGGCTCTCGAGTCAGTGTGTCTCCAAGCTCAACTCCAGCTGGAGGATGACGCGAGTCGCGTCCTCAACTTCACATTGTTCGATCCCGCCTCGGCAATTTCATCGTCAGTCACTCGGGAAGTTTTCAGAGGTGAACCCTTGCCGATCTCCTCTCCTCTCCTCTCCTCTCCTCTCCTCTCCTCTCCTCTCCACTCCTCTCCTGTCCACTCCTCTCCTCTCCTCTAGCCTCCGCTCCCTTCCCCTCTTTTCCTCACTCTCTTCACATCCAGGCTGTCCCTCGTGTCCTCCTGGAACGTTCTTCGAAGACGACGACGATCTTCCCCTCCCTCCTCGCAGATGTCGGCAGAAGCTCGTGTACGTCTGCAAGGGAGGCTGCGGAGGGATGGGAGATCGGATGATAGGTTGATCTCCTAGTCAAGCACGCGCTTCTTACTGTTGTGATACAGGCATGCTCAACGTCTACCTGCTCTCCGTGGTTCTCAACAGGTACCAACTCCCCTGAACCTTCAACCACCACCTCCTTCTCCTCTACCACCACCACCACCACCACCACCACCACCATCATCATCATCATCATCATCATCATCATCATGATCGTCGTCGTCGTCGTCGTCATCATCATCATCATCATCGTCGTCATCATCATCATCATCATCATCATCATCATCATCATCATCATCATCGTCATGCTACTTCTCCTATTCCTTTCTAACCTTCAATGTTGTCAGATGTTTTCGCATTCACAGTATCCACCCGGACTACCTCGAGAGGTTCTTTCGACCGCCTTTCCCACCATCTTACATGCCTTCAGATGGCTCGTCCCCAACGACTACGACTGGCGGGTTGACCCGGACGCTCCATACGACGTCCTCCTGTCCTGGGTCAACAGAGTCCCAGAGGACGAAGAGATTGAGCTTGTTGAAGGTGGCGGGAGGGAGCAGAAGGTGGGAGGAGCTGAGAGCTTGTGAGCAGCGTTGAACTTGACTTCCATCGGTATCATGACGAACGTCAACATGTTTGCTGCTATCAAGGTGGAGCAACATCAACGTCACTCCCTCACTCTCACTACTTCACCCCCCACAGGGTCGATACCCAGGGACTAGATTCATCAACTGGAATCAGAAAGCATGGTTTGGGCCGTTCTACAGAAAGTAAAACGCTCTCCATGTCACCTCGACTGGGCCTGACGGGAGAACTGCAGGATGTTCGCGCTAGGAGAAGAATCTTTGAAAGTCTTCGATTCCATGATGCAACATTGGAATCACGATGTGCGATCGCACTCGCTCCTCTCCTC